TGTTTCCCGTGGTAAAAAAGTGCCGGGCAAACTGCGTCGCGCGGGCACTTTTCGCAAACCGACAACACGCAAAAAGGCCCAGTCTGGCGAGGCTGTTTCCCGTGGTAAAAAAGTGCCGGGCAAACTGCGGCGCGCGGGCACTTTTCGCAAACCGACTGACAGCACGCAAATAAAAAGGCCCAGCCTGGCGAGGCTGTTTCCCGTGGTAAAAAAGTGCCGGGCAAACTGCGGCGCGCGGGCACTTTTCGCAAACCGACTGACAGCACGCAAATAAAAAGGCCCAGCCTGGCGAGGCTGTTTCCCGTGGTAAAAAAGTGCCGGGCAAACTGCGTCGCGCGGGCACTTTTCGCAAACCGACTGACAGCACGCAAATAAAAAGGCCCAGTCTGGCGAGGCTGTGCCCCGTGGTAAAAAAGTGCCGGGCAAACTGCGTCGCGCGGGCACTTTTCGCAAACCGACTGACAACACGCAAAAAGGCCCAGTCTGGCGAGGCTGTCTCCCGTGGTAAAAAAGTGCCGGGCAAACTGCGCCGCGCGGGCACTTTTCGCAAACCGACTGAGTGACAACACGCAAAAAGGCCCAGTCTGGCGAGGCTGTTTCCCGTGGTAAAAAAGTGCCGGGCAAACTGCGTCGCGCGGGCACTTTTCGCAAACCGACTGACAACACGCAAAGAGGCCCAGTCTGGCGAGGCTGTTTCCTTTCCCGTGGTAAAAAAGTGCCGGACCAACCGCGTCGCGCGGGCACTTTTCGCAAACCGACACCACGCAAAAAGGCCCAGTCTGGTGCGGCTGTCTCCCGTGGTAAGAAAGTGCCGGACAGACCGCCGCGCGCGGGCACTTGATAATCGACAACGCGCAAAAAGGTCCAGCCTGGCGAGGCTGTCTCCCGGGGTAAAAACTTGCCAAGGGTGCTGCGTCGCGCGGACATTTTTCGCAAACCAGAAACAAACAAAAAGGCCCAGGCCGGCCGGGCTGTTTCCCGTGGAAAAAAAGTGCCGGATGAGCTGCGTCGCGCGAGCATTTTCCGCAAACCGACAACATACATCACGCAAACAGGCCCAGGCTGGCCGGGTTGTTTCTCGTGCTAGGAAAATGCCGAGGAAGCTGCGCCGCGCGACCACTTTCGCAAACCAGAAACACGCAAAGAGGGCCAGTCCGGCCGGGCGGTTTCCCGTGGTAAAAAAGTGCCGAGGGAGCTGCGCCGCGCGGCACTCGGCAACGCAACCTCTTCGCAAGCCGGCACGCACGCAACACGCAAAGGGGTCCAGTCTGGTCGGGTTGTTTCTTGTGGCAGGGAAAGGCCGAGAAAGCTGCGTCGCACGCGCGACCACTTTCGCAAACCAGCAACACACGAAAAGGCCCAGGCTTGCCGGGATATTGCTCGTGGTGAAAAAGCGCCGAGAAAGCTGCGCCGCGCGGACACTTTTCGCAAACTAACCATCCGGAAACAAGCAAAGCGGCCCAGCCTGGCCGGGCTGTTTCTCGTGGTAGAGCGTTTCGCTTCCTTTCCGACCGGTGCGGGCTTCCTAAGTAAGTAAGGTCCAGGCCCATGGACCAAAAGCCGGGCGGTGACTTCCGCAAGGCTTGGGGCAGCTTCCTTCCGCAGGCGTGCCGCCGGCTTTTAGAAGTTTGTTAGGCCGCGAGCAGCTTCGCTCCCTCCACAAGTAAGGCCGCCAGGCAGCGGCGCCCATTGGTCCGGCGCCGACTTCCAAACGCCTGCCATCAGCTTGCAGGGGTCCGGCCGATGCCGAAGTACTGCATGTGCATGCAAGCGAACGCGCCACCCCTTGGGCGCCCTATGTGGTAGGCCGCTGGGGGTGGCGCAGCAGTGGCCATTCGTATACTTCGCGACGCGCGCCCCCGTTGCGGCTGCGCTCAAATGAGGAGCAAGCCCGCCCGGCCTCGGAAACTGCCCCGGCCGCCCAATACCCTCCAAAGATGCAAGGTCTCCGCACGGGGGCCCCAGCCCCCGTGCTCGGACCTTGTTTGTAATGCAAGAACGGCAAAAGTGAAAGGGGGAAAAGTTGCGCCTTTTGCATTACAGATTTGGCACAGGTTTAGATGCTATTTAGCCCTTCGGAGATTTGTGATGCGAAGCAGCTTAATCGTGGCGATCTTGGTGGTAAATTGGCATGACAAATCATGTAACAGCTGAGAATGTAACAGGTGAGAACGCCATAGATCTGGCCTGCGACTTCCAACTCAGCGTTCAACTCCACACCGGCATAATAAGGAGCACCTATCAAGGAAAAAACACCCATCCCAATTCAATTTGTCATGCAAAACCTGCATAAAGTCCAGTGTGTGTCATGCGAAGAATGCATGGGGATGGTTGTTTTTTCCTGGATACCACCTCCTATCGGACGGTACACCGCGTTAGGGACCACGGGCGTGTAGGATTCTCCGTCGTTGGCGCTCACCAAAAAGTTATAGCAAGTGTCACCGCTCCCGTCGGAACAAACCCCTTGCGAGCGCTGGAATATGGGGTTCTCAAACGTTACGTTCTCAACTGTTTACATTGAATTTGTGATGCGAGAACAGCAATATAATGGAAAGGGGCAAGCTTGCGAGTTTCGCATCACAAACTCGCAACAGAGTTAGATGCTGTTTGGCCCTTCGATAATTTGTCATGTGAAGCACCTTAATCTTCTGGCGACTTATGGGAATTGTGCAAGACAAATCATGTGACAGTTGAGAATGTAACAGTTTAGAACGCCATATGGAACGCGGGACAGTTTGGCCGACTGTCGCAGAGGTTTCTCCCCGCATCGCCGTCCCGTTGCTGGCCAAGGTAGGTTTGTCCCCGGAACCCCGTCGGGTAGACCTCGGTATGTGCGCAGAACCCGTTCCCGATGACCTCGTATTCTTGATTGGGCGCTATGAAAGCCGCAGGTTGGAAATCCTCAAAGTGAAAATAATTTGCAATGCAAAAAAACGACTCCAACTGAAGCACCATTTCTAGTCGGCGCATGACAAATTTCCCGGGCACTCAAAACGTGTCTGTCATGCTAGTTAGGCGAAGGGGCGCCCTTCTCTCGTGCTAATCAGCAGTCCAATTCTGAACCCGTAGAAGCACAATGACAATAGTCGGCCTCCATTGCGTTCTCTGCGATACAGTATTTTTGGTGTTGCATTTCATGCATCACAAATTGAGAATTTCCATTCTGAGGCTTTCATAAGCGCGCTGCTGGACGTGGTCGCTTGGGTTTCTTGCAGCTTCGACTTCTCGGTTAATATTTGCTGCGCCGTGAAGATCTTCTTCTTTTTCTGTTCGAGAAACTGCGAGGAGAAGGAGTCGCCGTCTTCTCGTTCCGGCAAATTACCGGCATCACTTTCCAGCAAATTCTTCTCGGTTATTAAAGAAGAAGAAAAGCTGCTGCTGATGGAGGCTTTTTTCGGAGGCGAGGACGTTGTGGCCGCAGGGCGGGTAGTTGAAGGTATATTTTTCAAACCAGTAGATGAAGTACCTGTTGTACCAGCACTGCTACTACGACTTTCCTTTTGTAGTTCATCGCCCTTGTCACTACTTTTCCCTTCGCGGCTCCGACGGCGCACCAGCTGCTCCAGGGCAGCCTTATTCCGTTTTTCAGAGCGAGCCGTGGTTTTGGTTTTGGTTTTCATCTTCTCGGCCGAGAAGGAGAGGGCAGCCGCAAAGCTGCTGTATATTTTCGCGAAAGTTTCAGACGAGGAAATGTAGTTCATCGTGGTGTGTTCTTCTCGGTGAAAATTCAAGTATGTCGCCAAGAAAACCGCCGCGGCGCGGTAATAACTAGGACCATTGGACAGAGTCCGCCTCATTTTAGAAGACGTAGTGCAGCTGGCACTACCAGTGCAACCCGACGAGTAGAAGAGCTCCATGATCATCTTGAGAATGTACAATCAGTTCCTCGAGTTTAAGCTTTGTAATTGGACAAAAGCACTTGCGAGCGCTAAATGTCTTCAATGCTTTATGCCTAAAACCCTCGTGGCCCCAGGACGAGGATTTCGATTTCTCATAAAGATGAGCGCAGTCGTAGAGAGAAAAAAAAAACTTGTCTTCTGCTTCTTCGTACTTTATTTGTCATACTATCCGGCGTTGGAAATGAAAATAATACAAATACACGCCACTTCATCTCATCGCGACCCGCCAGCTAGGTAGTAGAGGCTGACGCGACGAGTCTTAAAACCGAAAGATGAAGAACTTGGTCGCATTCATTTTTATTACGAGCTAAACTCTAGTTACGATATTATCGATAGCAGTAGCACAACGATTGCACGACCCATGTAGAAGTTCTCCGATAGAAACATTTTACCACGATCGCGTGAAGATACGAGCAGGTGCAACATTTCGAAAGAGCTTTTCCTTTTCGTTTTGTTTTCTCCAGTAGCTGGACCTTCCTTCTACGTCAGAATGAAGATGATCACACCCAAGTGCACATATCACGACTAAGCGCGACGAAAACGATGATTTTTGCGACAACGACTTCTACGATTGGCCTCAACAGCTAAAAGGAAAACCTACTTCTTTACTTTTTAGGTACACGAATTCTAGGATCATCTTATGCATAGATACCGACAGGAGCAGGCACGACTTCGGGCACGAACAATTTATGTTTATCCATGCAGAAATAAGCTTGTCCTGCATCCTCTGCAGACCTCTCTTGCTCTTCAATTGCAAGTTTTGAATTTGATGATCATGATTGGGAATTCGAAAGAAAGCTAGAGATGGTCATCAAGCGTGACTGAGAGTGCTCGTTTTTTCGTCCTGGTTCTACATGATGGACGTGCAGCTCATGGGCGGGAGCTTGCTGATTCGTTTTCGCATATACGAAAAGCATCATCAAGGGGGTACCTCCCCTGACATACAGGTATGGGAAGGAGCTAAAATACGTTAAAAAAGTGCTTGGGGAAGGCGAAAAAAAGAAACTTTTACTTTTACTTTGGACGTCCGAAGGATAGCACTCTCGCGCCCGCCGGTGTCCTATTGATATTATGTTGAAAAAATGAACATGAAAACTAGAGAAAAAAGGCTAAAATTTGCGATGAACGAAAAAAGACTAAACCCTGAGAAGTACTACTAGTACTAACAGGTAAAAATTCTTCTGTCGTGTGTGCTGGTGGCATCGCACCCACATGATGGAAAAATACGAATACGAATACAACGAAACTAAATGGAAATGCGATAATCTTAAACTGTGTGTGTATGTGTGACTAACAAAGAAAAAACAAGAATGTCTATCAAATAGTTTTTAAAGTGGGAATCACGCAGCATGTATTTCGTTTTGCCTGTTCCTGCCAACTGCAAATGAAAAAAAGCAAGAACTGAGTTGTAAAGAAACGAGGACGAGGACCCTCTATAGCAACAACTTCAGATCTTTTTATTCGGTGCAGCAGCCGCTTAAGCGAAAGAAAAGATCTCCTCGTCTCGTAGGTGCCCCTCCTCTTCCCCCGTCGAAACTTCGCCCTCCTTACCCTTCGCCTTGTGTTTTGCCTTCGCTTTTCGCTTGGCTTTCGGCTTTCCCGGCGACGCGCATTTTTCTCCCAGGAGCGATAAAGGCTGGCCGACCGCTTTGCTCTTGGCCGCCTGCGCCTGCGATTCCGGCGAGAGCTGCTTCGCGAAGAAGGCCGCTTTCTGCGCCACCAACTCCTCCGCGAGGTCTTGCAAGTCATTCACCGTAGCCCCTGCCAGTCCGGCCGCCGCAATCTTCTTTTCTTCCTCCGTTAAGGCCAGCGCTTTCTCCCCCAACTCCGCAGCCGTTTTGCCCGCAATCTTTTCCGCAATCTTGGTCGCATGCTGCTTCTTGAAACCCACGTCAACAAGCGCCTCGGTGGCTTGGTGCACCAAATTCTCCGTTTCGGCGTCAAAATGCTTCTTATCTACTTTGGTCGTGCTGGCAGCAGTGGTCGATTTCTTCTTGTGATGTGGCTGACCAGCAGCACCAGCAGCTTTCATTTCCTTCTTACTCGCCTCACCCGTAGAAGCTGCTCCACCTTCTGTCTCGCTGCCAGAAGACGCAACGCTGGTGCCAGCGGGAGAAGCACCACCGGCGGTTTTCTTATGCGGCAATGGGAATGGCAACGAACTAGGAATTTTTGTCGGCTTGCTACTCGTAGTTGCACCTGCTGCAGGTGGAGAAGTGCCAGCGGTGGTCGTGCCAGTGGCTTTCTTTTTTTTCACAATTTTTTTCTTTTTCCTCACAATCGTGCCCCCGGGCGTGGTTTGCCCCTCAAGATCCCCGCTCGTCTCTGCCTCCTCCCCCCCTGAGTCCTCCGAGGATTCTGAGACGGCTGAAGAAACCAGCGGAGGCTTGCTCACATGATACGCGCCGACGGCACTGGGCAAGACACTCTCCACCGGCGAGGTCTCGTGCTGGTGGTCCCCACCGGAGTCAAAGCTTCCGGTCTCGAGGTCTTTTTCATCCAAATTAGGGAACATCATGGGCGAATTTTTAGGACTGTTGTTTCCCAAAAAGTTTTTCCCACTCCCGAGGATCCCGCTGGCCAGGGCCTTCTTGTCTATGCTGCTACGCCGGGCAAAGGAGCCACCACGTTGTTCGTCCTGTTGATGTTGCCCATGTTCTTGTTGGGGCAGGAGGTTTCCATCTCCAGGTTGGATCTTTGTCGCATGAGACGTCGATGCTGTACTCATCCTCTGGCTATGATCTTTATTGTCGTGTTTTCTTTCGAACCGTTTCTTGGGTGGCATGACAGCGACAAAATTCGCCAGTGCGTTCACGGCTTCCGTGTCCCCGAAAGTGAGATCCTCGACCTCGGCGAAGGCACGCAGGTTGAAGTTGATGACCCGGGTGGAGTGGCGATTTTTTTTCTTTTTGGTCGTGTGCGCCGGCACCAGGAAGTTGCCGATATGGTTGTGTCAGGATCGAAATCGTCAGAGTTGAAATAGTTTGTCATGCATAAAATGCAACGCAGGAATTGCCTCTATTGCAGAGGACGCAAGGGAGGCAGATTGTAGTGCTGGTAAGGGTCGAGAATGGGGCTGCTGATTAGCATCACAGAGGGGAGCCCCTTTGCCCGAAACAGCATGACAAACTGGCCTCCGGTACAAACAAAATTTGTCATGCACCGACTAGAAACTGTGGGTCCTGTTGGTATCGATTTTATGCATTACAAGTTATTTCAACTTTGTCAATTTCAATCCTGACACATCCATATCCGAAGCGCTGGAGATACTCCGCGTCGCCGAATTTCTCCATCATTTCCAGCTATCAAGAGCAAACATGTCTGGGTCTGGAAGGATGTAACGTTTGTCATGCCTGTCTGGCATGACTGAAGAGTTTGTCATGCGTGTCCAATAAGAAATCCTTTCTCTTGTGATGCAAAAACGCTGCTTTTTATGCGAAAAGCGCAATAGAATACTGACCCGCGCAAATATTTCTCTTGCTTGGCTTTGCATTACAGAGCATTCACTATTCACGACTCAGCATCACAAGTTTCCAGACCCAGACATACTTGCAATCCATACCACCATCTTTTCCTTGTCAGCCTGTTCCACGTGCATCTCCCAGTCCCACTCTTCCAGATCCTCCGGCGAAATTTTCATCAGCTGTGCCAGCCGCGCCGCCGGCGTCAGTTGCTCCTTGTTTCGCTTCATTGATGGCCCTGCACCACCAGCCTGCTCCTCGCCCGCCGAGTTTTCCTGCATAGCGACGGTTTCGTTCGAAGCTCGCAGGTACCCCGCTGTGGCATTGGACACACCGCTGTGCGTTGTTCCTTGCGACCGACGTGCTGGTCCACCACCTCCCATTTGATGTTCCATTGCCGCAGCCCGCTCGGCCAGCTTGCCCGCGAGAAACTCCGCGGCGCGCGGGGAAAACCCTTCCTCAGCGAGTTTCTGCTTGGTTTCATCCAAATTCAGGGTCATCGCCTGCTCGTCGTGGTCGTTGCCCTGCTGGCCAAGTTCCTGATCCACCTCCGTCCCGCCGGTGCTAGTAGTCATGTGGCTTTTAATGGTTTGCTCCGAAAAATCGGCTCCAAGTCCGGTCGCGGTCGTGCCAGAAGTGCCTGTGCCTCTGTGCAAGTGCACTACCGTCGACCCAGCCTGCGCATTCGCTGCGGCGGACATTCTGGTCTGTTGACCACCTTCATCATGGTTCAGAATGCTCTTTTTCCTTTGCTGTTTCGCCACGTTAAGGAGGAAGCCGCGGAGGCGACCCACCCGTTCCGGATCCTCGTCGAGAAACTCGAGGCCAAGCCGCCTCATGATGAGCGAATCACGCGCGTCGGTCGGTTTCGCCAATACGTCGTCGTCTTCCACATCCTCATCGCAAATCTGGTGTGCCAGCTGCCCCGCGTAGGCGGCCGTCAAACCCGCATCCAACAGGGCGTTGTTGACCGGCTCGAATTCAAAGCGCAGGTCGGATGACTTGCGAGGTGGAGTTTTCCCGGGGGTTGTATCCTGTGCTGGTGGGGTAGCTGTTGCTTGCGGCGCAACATCCTTTTCGTCCTTATCTGTCCGGAGCACGAAAAACCAGACTGCCAGTACGGCAAGAATGAGAAACAAAACGCCAACGACAGCGCCAACCACGCCGGCGCTTAACCCCCCGGAAGTTTCGGTGGTGGTCTCGGTCGTTGTTTCATCGGTAGTGTCGTTGGTAAACTTGATTTCTTCTACTTTTTCGTCGTCAAGCAAATGCCGATCTTGCGTGCTGTTACCAGTAGCAGAAGAAGTTGCAGTCGTTGTGGTTGTCGTAGTCGAAGTTTCATCTCCACCAACATTAGCCGATGTCGCGGAGGTAGAACTTGTTGGCGTGGAAGTAACAGCACAAATCTCCGCGTTGTGTGTGGTGCACTCCGCACCAACCGCAGGACTCCCGCCGGCTTCGCTGCAAGTGCAGTTGTTGGCGACACACATTTTATTCGACGTCGTTCCGTCATTTGCAGTATAATCTTCCAGGTGAAAGCCCCCGCTGACGTCGCAACTAGTGCAGATTTCCGCGTCGTGGGAAGTACACGCTGTTCCGTTCGCCGCCGTGCCGTGCGAACAGGTGCAGACGTTTGCGACACAGAGTTCCGTTGCCTCGTCCAGATGGAAGCCCACTGCGGTGCAGCTCTCGCACTTCTGGACGCTCCCGTCCCCGGGTGCGCACTCCTCGCCCGTTTTGGGCGGACCCCTTCCGTCCGGACAGCTGCACTGCATCAAAATGCACTGCTGGGTCTGCCCGTCCGAGCTTGGCGTCGTGCGGTACCCCGTCATCTTGCTGCAGTCGACGCAACCGACCGTCAGGCCATCCGCGGTACAGTTCACCCCAGTGGCGGCGATACCATGGTCGCACCTGCACTGATTCACTTCGCACCTCGTGGTCCCATTGAGTACTACTGCATGGTTCCCGTCGTAGCACTTCCATTCCAAACACCAGACCGTACTACCATCAGCAGCGCACGCTGACCCCGTCTCGGGTTCACCGTTGTCGCACCGGCAGCTGTACAACGGTATGGAAGCGTCAGGTTTGAAATCGACAAAGTTGAAATAATTTGTGATGCATAAAATGCAACCCACAAAGTGCCTGTCTTGCAGAGTAGGCAAGGATGGCAGATTGCAAGCCTGTTGAGGGGTAGAGATAGAGCTGCTAAAGTAGCATGACAATAAAACGCGTCTTCCTTACCCAAACAGCATTACAAACTGGATTCAGGCACCACCAAAACTTGTCATGCGCCATTTAAAAACTGGGCTCCAACTGGCATCCATTTTATGCATGGCAAACTATTTCAACTCTGACGATTTCAAACCTGACACATCCATAAACGGACACTGAACCATAATGTCTTTCCCGTCGTGGTGCTCGCACTCCGCTCCGCCATTTTCTGCGGGGGTGGTTTGAGTGTGAAACCGGGTCAATGTTTCTCCGTTGCCCTCACACTGTTGTTCGATAAGGTCGGCATCTGTAGCAAAGTCCCAGGCCCCCACACAGTCGACCACCTGCAATTCGCACCCCTCCATCCGCATTTCCTCGCCGGGATTGTCGCAAAAGAACGTCGGCGCAGCGCCGGTAAAGGCGCCGGTCCGGCACTGCGCCCCTATGACGGTAATGGGTGTCGTCGCGGTCCAGATGCAGCCATTGTCGCAGCCGCCGCCGGTGCCCTGACACAGAAAGTTCTGATCTTCGTATCATTTGTAAAAACGTCCCCACACCAGAGTCAGGATGGGGAATCGGCCAGACAAATCCACAAGTTTTGGCTGTTCTGCATGACAAATTTGGATTCGTCGCGTAGTGCTGTTTGAGCTAGCTCAGCAGCATCACAGATCTAGTCTCTCATGCTGATTGGAGCATGACAAATTTCAAAACACCATTAGAAAATGCTTCTCATGAGGTTCCGCATGAGAAACATTTTAAGCATGCAGATTTGCATGACAACTATAGTGTGGGGACGTTTTTAAATAGGATACTTCGCGCTTCGTCATCAGTTCCTCCGGCGTGCACAACCTCCGCTATCCTGAGCAAAAATGTACCCACCCCAGAGTTGTCATGCAGATTTGCAGCTACAGGAAGATTTGTAATGCGCATCCACATGAGAGGCATTTCCAATCGCGTTTTGCGCTTTGTAATGCTGTCGACAGGATGAGTAGATGGATTTGTGTTGCGGCTGTGCTTGCTAAACTGCACTACAATAGAGAGACGAACTTGTCATGCTGGACCCCCAAAACTTCTCGATTTGTGTTGCGAGATCCCCAGCTTGACTCTGGTGTGGGGACGTTTTTACATAGGATATCCGGTTGCCCGTGTTCTCGCAGAGCTGGACGGCGTCTTCGTACGTGTAAAGCTCCGAAACTGCCCAGTCAGCTTTACACATTTGGCTGCCATCTGGCCCTGCCGGCGTCTTGCAGTCGACTCGCGTGTTAGTGTCTCGCGGGTTGACGATGGACTTGCTGGAAACGAAAGCGCCATACTATCACGTGTAAAAAACGCGATAATTATATCTTCTGGGTCTCGAAAGGAATCGTGCTCGTGATTTCTTGGGAGAGGTAATAATTTTTTAGCCGGATAAACTAGCTACAACGCAGCAGAATTTCAACATTATGCTGCAACTGCATCAGCATGGCCATGGCACAAACTCTAGCTCGTGCACGTTTTGCATGACACAGCACCAAACCAAAAACGACACGAGCTGCTTTCAATAGAAGCGGTTTTTCTGGCACTGGCTCGAACTGCGTCGGTCTGTCTGTCCACGCCGAGCAAGGAGAACGATTTTTACTAAACTAAGAAATCGGTGTAGAAGTTCATCTTGATGTAGGCTCTTTATTTATCAAGACCCAGCCTATGACATCATGATCATCATGCGTTATTTCACGTTCATAAGCTGGCCACAAGGTCCTCGTCGCCGCAGCAACGAACCGGGAACCGGTCCGTAAGTTTGCTGACGGCCAGTGGGGTGTCACCGGTGGAGTCGCACTATGAAATGCAAAAGCATCGTACTAGTATAAATCGCATGACAAATTTCCTCAGCATGAGAAATAAAATTTGTAATGCGGATTTAACTTGAGAGAAAAATTTGTAATGCATGACTGTAATTACTACGAGTACGATACTTTTGCACAGGATACGCACGTGTTCCATGGGGCAGAGATGAAACCCTCCCCGCTTGGTTTTTCAATCCCACGCTGCACGAAAGCGAAATCCCCACGCGGCAGCGCGTTCTCACTCGTCAAGTAGCTCGTCCAGTCAAAACCAGTTCCCAAGTTGTCACCAAGCTTCGCGAGCGCCGCGCTCCCCGGGTTCTTGCACCCTTGTCTGCAGCAGTGGTCGTGGCAGGTATCAGTGGGGTACTGCCCATTAATAAGGGCTACGGTGTTGCTCACCCCTGGACAATAAGTTTCCGCGGGGGTTGTAGGGATAAAGTACACCGAGTTTCCATCCGGCTGGGCGCAATCTTGGTTGGAGGCATCGCCGCAAATCGGAAAGTATGCAATACAAATTTCCATTCCTGTACATGTACAAAATGCATCACAAATTTCACCAATTCATTGGGGTGTAAGATTTGTCATGCCAAATGAGGCTCGAGCCGCAGTTTTGTCATGCAGAGACCGCATTTGTACGTGTGCGGGAAATTTACTGTGGATAGAAAGCAGCCTTTTTCTCCAACGCTGGGCCAGTTGTTCCGCAGCGTCCATTTAGCCGGGTCACCGCAGCTTTGACACTGAATTTGGCCGTGCGCAGCGCACGAGCCCGAATCGACAGCGCCGTTGGGACAGCTGCAAGTTTTCACATCACAGCCCGTCATTTTCAGTGCTTCTCCTGGGCTGTCGCAATAGAACTTCGGTTGACTACTCTGGTCCCAGTCGCCGTTGCATGATACGCCGCTGATCGATTTCGCTCCACTCCCCGGCAAGAATTTCTGCTGGATAAGTTCGATTCCCCACTTGTTCCAGTTCGCGTCCCGATTCAGTTTCGCAAGGTCGGCGGCGCTCGGAACCATGCACCCCTGCCTACAGCAGCTGGTTTGACAAGCAGTTTTGGGGTCGAGGCTCTGATCCTCATCCAGGGCGTTCGAATCATCAATACCTTCGCAAAGAGTTCCACTGTCGCTGGCAATGTAGTGAATTCCACTTCCTGCACCTAGCGCGGCGCAATTTTGGTAGGCAGAAGTCCCGCACTTCGGAAAGCAACCTTTTTGGCCAGGGGCGGGCCAGTTGTTCCGCAGCGTCCATTTGTTCGGGGCGGTGCAGCTCGCACACTGGATGTCCCCGTGCTTGTCACACGCGCCCTCATCGAGAGTTCCGTGGGGGCAACGGCAAGTCTTCTGGTCGCATCCCTTCAGCTGCAGTGGCTGCCCCGGATTTTCGCAGTAGAATTTGGCTGGGGAGCTCGGGTCCCACTCGGGGTTGCAGGCCACACCGGAGATCGTTTTCGCACCAGCCATGGTCATGCCCGGTGTGAACTTTTCTGTCACCAGCTCGGTTTTCCAGTTCCCCCAGCCCGCGCCCCTATTCAGTTTCCCCAGGGCCGCGCTACTTGGAACTTTGCACCCTTGCTTGCAGCAGGTCTCGCGGCATTTGGCAGCGGGGTCGAAATTGAGTGTCCGGGCGTCGCTGTCGGCGACGTTGGTGCATAATTCGTCTGGATTGCTAGTTGGGATGAAATGAACGCCGTTCGCATTCTTTTTGGGACAGCCTAGCGCATTACTCGCCCCGCACTTTGGAAAGCAACCCTTTTGCCCAACGGCGGGCCAGTTGTCGGTCCGCAGAATCCATCTGTTCGAATCCGTGCAGCTCGCGCACTGTATGTCGCCATGTTTATCACACGCGCTGGCGTCAGGGTTGCCGTTGGGGCACTCGTATGAATTGCAAAAGTATCACACTCGTATAGATGCATTGCAAATTTCCTCAGCATGAGAAATAAAATTTGTAATGCGGATTTGACTTGACAAAGAAATTTGTAATGCATGACTGAGATTACTATGAGTACGATACTTTTGCACAGGATAACTCGCAAGTCTTCTGGTCGCACCCCTTCATTTTCAGTGGCTCGCTATCCTGTGTAAAAACGTCCCCACACCATAGTTGTCATGCAAATCTGCATGCTTAGAATGTTTCTCATGCGGAGCCCCATGAGAAGCATTTTCCAATGCTGTTTTGAAATTTGTCATGCTCCAATCAGCATGAGAGACTAGATCTGTAATGCTGCTGAACTAGCTCAAACAGCACTACACTACGCGTCCAAATTTGTCATGCGAAACAGCCAAAGCTTGTCGATTTGTCTAGCCGATTCCCCATCTTGACTATGGGGTGGGTACGTTTTTACATAGGATACTCGCCCGCGGTTTCGCAATAGAATTCGGCCGGGTAGTTTGGGTCCCATTCGTCTTTACAGCTCACGCCGGAGATAGCATTGGCGGCGCCTTCAGTCATGCCGGGTAACCAGTTCACAGCGCGCAAACGCGACTGCCAGTTAGAATTGCTTATGCTCCCCTGTAGTTTATTCAGAACGCCGGCGACGGGCTTCTTGCAGCCCCGTCTGCAGCAACTGTCGCGGCACTGGGTAAAGGGCCAGCTCCCATCATTGTAGGTGTAAGGAACGTCGTCGGCGCAGTACGTTTCGTCGGGTGACGGGATGTAGTAGCCGTTGCTACCGTTGCTTCCCTCCTTCTGGTGACATAGCTGATTAGAATTGGAACCACACTTGGGCCAGCAGGAAGTGTGGCCCGTTTGCGGCCAATTTTGCCTTTTCCTCCACTTTGATTCGTCACACGATTCGCAGTTCTGCGCCAGGTGTGCCGGACAGGACTCCGCGTCTTCGTTTTTCTCTCCATTGGCGCACTGACAAATCACCAGACTTTGATTTGGCTGTCCTGCTACGCATTGAAAAATAAACACCGGATAGGCGTAAATGCCGGTACCAGTGTGGTAATCGTTGATCCAGCTATGTGGGGTCGGTTTGCATTTCGCGGCGTTCGAGGGGTTATTGTAGTACTCCGGCTTCTTGATCTATCAAATGTAAAAATGTCTGGGGCTGGGAGAATGCAACTTGTGATGCTGCATTTGGATTCCAAAAAAAATTGTATCGCATGAGTACCACAGGAAAGGCAATTTTTGCTACGCTGAGAAGGCACTTGGCATGCGGAATACGCATCAAGAAGCCCTCAAAAAATCTGTATTGCTATGGGGGTGCATCACAGACATCATGGCTCATGCAAAACGTGCAAGACAAGTGTCAGAATCTTCCAGACACAGACATTTTTGCATTTGATATGATCGCGTAGAAATGGCACTGGTATCGCTCCTCTTCGCCGTCGACCCACCCTTCTTCCTCGGATTCCATGTATTCTGCCGCGTAGAACGTGCAGCCCTCAATGTGGTCACACAGGTGCCGACACTCTTCTACCCCATGGTCCAAATCGGCCTGCTTACCTTTGTACGGGCCGCGCCGATAGTAGCACTTGCTTGCCGATACGTCTGAGGGGAAGGGGAAGGCGTAATCCTCGTCGGTCACCGCATTATCTGCGAAATGATACTCACAACGCGACCCGGACGGCGGGGAGCACCACTTGTAAGCGGGCCCTTTGACCTGGTACAATTCTCCAAGATCCGTTGCCGTGCGCGGGCTGGTATTCGGTATGTTTCTTTCGCCGGCGCAGTGTCCCAAGCCTGTGCGGTCAACACTAAGAACACTATTGCTGCTCATCTTCAGTTGTGAAGCAACAGGGGGCTGCTGCGCCGGGGTCCTCTTCATCTTCTTCACCGTCGCCAGCGCTGTGGACGTGCGGTCGCTCTTTTCATGATCCTGCTCCCCGCGGCCGCCACTTGTGGGCGGTACAGCGTGGACACTTTCCGAGTTCGGCTGGTGTCGCCCGTTGGAGGTCCTGCTCGTCGACGTGGTAAGATCTACCTTATTCTCCTCCTGTTCCTTATCCGTGCCACAGCAAGACGTTGTGAGGCCCAGCAGTGGAGGTTCTCCCGCCGCAGCAGCAGCGGCGGTGGCATGCGACGTTTTTCCTTCTTCTAACATGCTGGTGGAGGTCGGGTCGTGTTGCAGGTGTTCTTCATCTTGACCACGTTCTTCTTTTCCACTACGTGTGCCTTCCTGCAGTTCATCGTCCAGGAAATCTATACGAGGATCTGCAGCTGCTTTTTCTTCGAAAGTAGAAGCAACGGGGTCACCTGCTCCTCGTCGTCGCACTGCATGACCAGCAGCAGGAGAAGAGCCTGAACTTCTACCTCCACTATTCGTCGCCGCGCGGATCCGATTTTTGATCTTCGAACTTTGCGCCTGCTTCTGGTTTTCTCCTTGAACTTGTCCCAGCATGCTGCTTTTCTTGTTGTTTCCAAAAGAGTTCTTCCTGTTGTTCTGTCGTATCTTCTTTATTTTTCCCGTTCGCGTAGTGCTGCCAATTCGAGAAGTAGAACTGGTTTTCTTCTTATTCAAAGACGTCACTGAGAACCCGGCGGCCAAGCGAACGAATAGTACAGCAGGATCATTATGCTCAGGAACAAAGACCGAACAGAGGAGAGCGAAGGCTGCAGCTGCCGACAAGCAAAGCGAAGCCAGCTGGGGCTGTTCTGGGCGACCACGTGTCATTCTTGAAACAGGCCCCTTGCTCTTCATGATCGCGGAAGACCTGCTGGTGCTCCGCGACGTCTTGCTTCTCCCGAGAAGGACGACCTTTTTTAGTGCTTCGAATACCTTCCTCGTGCGGCGTGGTCGTCCCGCTGTTGACGACGTTGTGGAGGTTGTATCTTCGCCTACATCCGCCCCAACAACACGTCGTAACTGGAAGAGCGAAGACATTACTTCTTGTTTTACCCACGCAAAAATTAGAGTGGTGGCATGTAAATCTAGATGTGAGACGAGGGGGACAACACTGACGAAAAATCAACAGAAAGCGATTGCTCGTGCTCCTGAAATTCCGGTACTCATGTTTGTCCCGTATAGTAGCAAGTAGAACTTAAAACTGCAGAGTACGTACCTACTTACCCGTTAGTCACCTCAGGGGAAGTCCTTTCCTTTCTCATTCAAAAGCTGCTGGAAACTTTGAGACAACAGATGAAGATGAAAGCAATTGCGAAGATGTTGTAGTCAACAAATGCGAAGATGAAACGGCGAATGGATCATTCATGATCTGGGCACGCGGTCATCTATACGATTGACGATGAAATTAAACCACAGGAGCGCACACGTGGTCTACATGTACTTACTCCTGATGCACCAAGAACTTCTGGTGCATCTTCTGGGGCGAGTGGGAGGGAACTCCTTATACGCACGAATACGAACCTTCAACATGGCTAATTTTTCATTGTGCACGACATCACAGGAGGAACGAAAGAAGAACGAAGAAAGAAGTGCAAAATGTAGTTTGTTGTACCTCTTTTAATTGATGTAGAAATGTTTTTATTTTCAGCTGGCGAAAAAGACAAAGGAACGCTACGACGAATTCAGAAAAGCGGTTGAACGAGGACGAAATCAGTAGAATCTGGGGCTTGAACGAAGGCAGAAGCACTACCTCCAGCTCTAATATGTTATTGCTTTCTTAGTACCAAAAATCATCGGCGCGATTGCGGTAGTCGGCTGTAGCAAGACGCGAGGGCGGCGGCAGCCAAAGCAGAACACGACGAGACTCTTGTCGTGTATGTGTTTTATTTGCGGTGTGGAGCCCAGCCCGCGGACGACGAGGACACAACACAAATACAACTGTCATTTGTCTTGTTCAACGGGTTACCTCTTGTTCACTCACGACAGCTGATATGCAAAATTAGAAATAATCATACGGCATCAATAAAGGGTGATACTGATATTATTCGAGAACTGTTTTCTATGGGTAGCCAGAGAAATGTAATACGATGAGTTTTTTAGTACAAAATGGGAATCCTGGTAAAAAAAATTTTGCCGTAGCGAATAGAAAGCGAAGTGATTGACCTTCACTATTCGAGTGGTGCGTGGATCAAATGTGGTGGTGGTGGACCAACAAGAACTGTTCTTGAGCATGGTATCATCAAACAAATGCAATACCTAGAAACTCGCACTCGGACGAGAACCAAATAAAAATGTGAGGTGAAAAAGAACATCATTTGCAACAGCTTTGGGAATTCTTTGTTTCGCGCTGGAGCTCCTGGTACAAAAATTCTCTTCTTTTTTCATCCCCTGCTTCCCCATCAACTTCTCCGCCGCGTTCACACCACAGCCGTTTGCTGCTCTACTTCCGACGCATCAAGCGATGTTGTAGCAATACTCGTCGTCGTCCCGTGGTCCTGCTCATCTTTGTCCCGCCCCGTCGTGCCGTGGTCATCTGCCGTCTTCTCGATAAAGGACGACGCGGCGGACTGGTAGTACTCTGCGGGAATGTAATCTTTCACATGCTTCTGCCCCGAGTGCTATATGGATCGCAAAAGTAATATCGGACTCATACCAGAAATCGCATGACAAATTTCCTTAACATGAGAAATGGAATTCTTATGTATTAATGCGGATTTTTTACCTCAACGAGCTCATGCTCAACATGAAGAGATTTGGAATGCATGTTGATTGCAACTAGTGCGAGTCAGTGCGATACTTTTGCATTGCATATGCCATGCCGTCGGCCAATCCTGGAAAAGCCCGTTTTCTCCTAGTTGCGCTTCCAAGTTCGGGGGAAAGCCGGTGGGCCCCTTCGTTGTCGGCCCTGCATTCCCAGGGGTGGGCGCTGGCGTGGTACTAACGCCGGAACCTCCAGGAGACTCCGTCGTTGATGTCCCGCCCCCTGCTGGCGTTCCGGCAGGTGACGTATCCTGTGCAAAAGTATCGCATTCGTACAAACTCAAACTCGAGTCGTGCATGCATAAACAAATCTAACTTGTTTCTACCCGATTCTCATTTCTACTCAGCGTGACAAATTACATTTTTGTTCTTGAAAAAATTTGTCATGTGATTGTTCATGCTAGTACACGTACGACACTTTTGCAATGCATATGATGTCGCCTGATCACCGGTTGAGGTCGCCCCGTCGCCGTAGTCTTCGTAGTCCGGGCTCGACACCACGGGCGAAGGAACGGGCAACGGCGAGGTCAAGCCCTCGTGCGTCGGCACTTCGCCGTTGTTTTCAACAATTTTCACGTCCGCGCAGTTCGCAAACTCTTCCGGCTTCGTGTTGGCGTCGCAGTCGTCGCGCTGCGACCTCCACTCGTTCGCCGTCCCGAGGACGCCCTTGTCCCCACGAGCCTGGTTGTATTCCGTGAACTCGTCGGAGGCAAAGTACTCCGCGTAGGTCGGGTTTTGGTTCGCACTACGGGGGTTCTCCGGCAGCCCGTTCGGGGTGCAGGTGTTGGCCGTCCACCAGTGCCACACCAAGGTGCACTGCTCGCAGGTAAAATCCATCGGGATTTTGTACCACATAAAGTGGAAAAAGCTCTGGCTCTGGTGTGCGGCCAACGAGGCGTCCCAGTCGTTTTTGTACTTGTACTGCCCGGGCTCCTGGGGGGGTAAATACCACCGGTGCTCGTGGCCCACCACGAGGGGCTGGCAATCGGCGTCGAGGGCGGCCGCGTCGGTCCACTGCCCCTCCTTGTAGCAAGTCGGACGGACCTTCGGATCCACACGCTCGAGCGGGTTCCACCCTTGATGCAAGCATCGCCACGCGTTGTCGGGGTGCCCCATCTCGCTGTCGTTTGCGTCAATATGCAATTTACAAATTCATTCCCGTGTACAACGAGAACGACGTACTACAAACGCAAAAGCAATGCATTAACAACAACCTGGACGAACAAGTTGCAACTTGTCATGCTGAAGAGGCCTTTGGAAGGAAAAGTTTGTCATGCAGCACCAGAAGCCACATAAAAATTCGGATTTCATGTTGTACAACAAGGTCGTCGTGTACAACGGGAATACATTAAAATACATTTTCTGTAGATAGTCAATACTTTTATCACAGAGCCGGAACTCAAAGTGCCCATCGTGCCAGGTCCCATAGGCAACCGCAAACTCGTAGTGCAGACCCTGGACAAAGCGGTTCGGCCCCATGTTACTACCGGCGACCTGGGCAAAATGGGGAGCCGTATGGATGTGTCAGGATTGAAATCGACAAAGTTGAAATAACTTGCAATGCATAAAATGGATGAAAGTTGTGAACCAGTTTCCAATTGGCGCATGACAAATCTGAATAGAGCCGAAATCTAGTTTGTCATGCTGTTTGGGTAAGGAAAACGCTTTTTGTCATGCTATTTTAGCAGCTCAGTTTCTACCCCTCAACAGGCTTCCAATCTGCCTCCCTTGCCTACTCTGCAAGACAGGCACTCTGTGGGCTGTATTTTATGCATGACAAACTATTTCAACTTTGACGATTTCAAACCTGAGGACGCTTCCATAAGCCGTCATTTCGAAGTAGTGCGTTTGTCGTTTGGTTGCCGTGTAGTCCCAGGTTCCCGTGCCGTCCGCCTTTTTGATCGCGCACTCGTCGGCGTTCTGCCGGGGGTCGCCGCAGATGCCAAAGTTTTTTTGCGTGGTCGGATACCCCTCCGTGCCGTCGGGTCCGCAGCTCACCATGCAGTTTGGACAGTAGTTATGCGGGTTTTCCGCTGACGTTGGGTACCCGTTCGCCGAAGCCGCTAGCGACCCGACCGCAATGTCGGCCGGCATATCGTTGTCCTGATGTTGATACCAGTAATTCCGGCTGATTGGAATAGCCAGCAGGGCGTGGCCGGCGACCTGCTGCACGTAGTTAGAAGTACTACCTTGACCACCTGGGCCGCTGGAGGAAAACACCAGCGTCAAAAGCGGCGCGGCTAGGCCGGTGGTTTTTCGTGCTGTAGGGCGTAGCATGTTGGTGCGGTCTTTACAACTTTTGGTCGTGATGGTGGTCATGAAGACAGTGATTTATTTGCCAGTAAGGAGAGAAGTTGTGCAACGAACTACTTACTCGAAGATGTTCTAGGAAAGTAGCACGCACCAGATAACGTAAGAGGCTGCCGTGGCTACTAGAACGAGAAGACGACGTGCTCAGAATCAGAAAGTGAAAGAAGCTCTTTTTATACGGCAACCACTACTTCTACACGAACGATCTCTTGTAAGATTGATTTCGGGTATGCTAGTAGCGCTGAAAATTTTCCTGTCTCGGATGCGATGGAATAGGGAACTAGAATGAAAGCCTCGGAGGATATTAGAGGACAGTAGCAAAACTGATGGAACGACAAGCACGACACTTCGATCACGGAATGTGCGCTTTATTTAGAACGAAAACGCGCAAATCAAAAATCCAAACCACGGTGGTTGTACGAATCGGAAAACGAAGGAGCTATCTTCCTATGAAAAGGACGAAGATGATGCCAACTGGTACGTGGTGCAGCAGTACCAGCAACGGGTGTTCAGCTATGTAAGAGACGAGGATCATTCGGCTTCGAGCCGGACGAAGTGCATCAACATCAGCGATTTACGACAGCACCAGCAGAACGATTCACCATGACCACATAATAAAAAACGCTGCGACATACGTACATCACGTACGTTGCTGTTGTACATCAACAAGCTGATTTTTGCTACGTGCAGCTGCGTCTACTTCCCAAGTAGAAAATGACTACTTTAGGATCATCTTGCTTCATGGTAAAAAACTACGCAGCAAACTTCATATGTTCTTTGCTCCCAAAGAACACTTCGTCAGTAAAAACCTGGCCTTGCGTGTGCTGCAATTTTTTGGACTAATAGACAAATATCCAAATGAAAAAAATGCAGCATTTTAAGAAAAACTAATCATGCTGGCTTTTTCAATCGTAGCACTAGAAGGATGAACAGTTCCATGTTGGGCGGCCATCCTCAACTTGGTGTAGATGTTGTTCCTAGTGCAGCAATTTGTGTCCCGCTAGTACAAGAACTCGCAGTAGTACTACTTCTTTCTTCTCCCGCGGAGCAAGAGAAGCTGCTATCCTGTTGACCCATTGGCATTGCCAATGGCACGTATCTAAACGTCAAGCTGATCCTTTCTCCACGTTTTTCCCAGGCTTCGTTCCCCGCATCAAAATCAAACTTCTGGAAGGAAATCCCGTGCTTGCACTTCTCATACGCTTCTTTTTCGAAAATCAGCAAAGACCTGCGTGGGAGACAAAGGGACGTGGTTTTGCTTTTTGTGATTGAAGTTGCCGCTGGATCATGTACATCAACCTCGGCGTTGTCTTCTAATTGTACTCCTTCATCCTTATTCGCCTCGGCCCCCCCATCCTGCTCTGCATCTGCGATAAAATCGAACACGATCTGGCTTTTCAACGACAAAATCGCAACTATCGGGTGGTACAGTGGTCCGTCCTGGTGCGGCATAATCCCGTCACCCGGCTGGTAACAGTTGATCAGCAAGTGGTTCGGACAGTGCGCTGCGGATGGAAAAAACCGGGCTCCGATTTGCTTTGCTATTGGCCTCAGGAATGGTGGAAAGGAGAAGTCCTCAGGATCATCTTGACCACAGTGGTCTTGGCCGTCGAGGAAATTCAAATTCTCGGAGGCACGAGGATGCTGTGCTGCCCTGGACGACGACGAGCCCGTCTGGTCTATTGGTGTTGGTGCCGCTGGATTTTCAATCTCTTCTTGTGTAGGCACTGTAGCTTTACATGGAAGATGCAATCCGTCTGCCAGAACCTCCCCGCCGAGTTTCAAAACCTTTCTCCCGCGAAGCTCCGTCCAGTAATTGTTTTTTCTGGACCTGCCTGGAAGATGCCCTTGTACGTCATGAGTAGAGGCGACGTCGCTAGAATGAACAACTCCGTTCCCGCCCGCTCCCGCATTCGGACAATTTGCCGGAGCAGCTGCGCTTGAGTTTCTTGATGATCCTCCACTCCCGTACCGTAAATCCAAAAACTCCAAGATCTTCCTTTCATCTTCTGCCGAAATCACTTCTGAGTAGACGCGGACGTTTGGGTGGAGTGTAGAAGACGACGCTGAGTTCGCGCTCGCTGTCGAGGACGCGGAGCTGCGAGAGGTTCTTCCGGCAAGGTCGATGATGATCTCCTCGTGGTTGACAGAGAAGGTATTTCCATTGCTAGAGCTGTAGTGATGTTCTTTGGGCGCCGTGGTTCCTCCTCCAACTCGCTCGGCAATGGAAAGCACGCCTTGCTGCAACTTTGGGGATGGAATTTCGTGCTGCTGCTGCTGCTGCTGCTGGTGTGATTGTTCGATTCGTGCGCTATTTGCGGCATAATTATGCTCTTTCGAGGCTGACGAGAGAGTGTGAATCACTTGTGCGTTTTCTATTGAAGGTGCTCCTCTTCCTTCTCCTTGATTTTCGTTCGATATTCTCCCTCCGCCGGGCTGATTCTGAGTGCCATCGCGGTGCGACGTGTGTTGCTTGATGTTGGTCGGCCCGCGCTCCTTCGCTGCTCGAAGCAAAGCCTTCATGGTGATGAAGAAAAAGCAAAAAGGTCTATTCTCTTTCTAGAGGTTGCTACCTCTATGGCTCTATGTGAGTCGCGGAGCTAAAAGACTCTATTGGTGAAACGCGCAAAAGAGGACGAATGGGATACGCTTACTTGGGAACGGCATGAGGACGATGGGGAAGACGACTTAATGTACCTACCTCATATGCTTACTTCTACTTTGTACTTGATGGGAAGGACAAGGACAGGTGACCTGCAAACTGAGAAATAAGGTCGCACATCAGAAGTATCGATGGAGGAACTAGATTACTTTCTAAACCTAAATAAATGCAGATGATTGATGAACAAGCACAAGCTCACGTAGATCACTGTGCAAAAGTGAGGCAGGTCGGGCTGAAATTTTCTGCAGGGCTCTAGCGCCGCTGGCTTTGCGCGCCTTTGTTTTTGCCACTGCGCGTCTTACATGCGATGATCGCCGCGCTGGTCCGCTGACGTTTTTGCGGGTGCAGCTGGTAATATGTCTTGTGAAGGAGATGAAAATAAAATTTCGGGAAGGAGGCATTTGGGTTTCTTTTTGAAGTGTAGCCAGCGTGCTATTGATATTCGTTCACTTCCATCACTTGTTTATATGAAGTCAGCAGTTTCTTCATCATCATCAGGAAGATGCCATTACCACAGGCGAAAAAATCTCCAAATGCGCCTTCAGTGCCCTAGCCCACTTATGAACTGCAAAAGCATCGTACTAGTAGTGATTGCAATACAAATTTCCTCAGCATTAGAAATGGAATTTGTAATGCGGGTTTACCTTAATACCTGGATTTGTAATGCATAACTGCAATTAGTACGAGTACGATGCTTTTGCATTGCATACCACTTTTCGGCTTCCTGGTTGGTTTCGAAGCGGAAAATGTAGCGTCGCGACGGATCGAAAGTAGAGGTCGTTAGGTGTGTTGACGTAATACCATATTGTTGTGACTGTTCATTGTCTGGAGTTGAGAAAAACGCGTTATGCTGTTGCTGGTGGGAAGCAGACATAGTGTAGGACGTTAAAATGATTTTGGTGCGCTTGGACATCTGATGAAAAGAAGTCGAAGTAGAACTACTGCTGCTCTGTGTTGCGGATAATATTCTAGAAGCACTTGATGTTCCTGCGGTCGTTGTACTCGCGGCACTGGCGGCGGCAGTCGATGAAGAAGCGGCTGAAGCTGATGCGTTCATAGAGGCCGCGTCGTTCATCTTGCCCCCAACAGCAGATGAGTTTGAGCTTGTTGTACTGTTAATACCAGTAAAATTGCTCATCACACTCCACACTTCCCCTGTCTGTTTGTTTTTTCTCACCACGTCTAACTGCATGCTGTGCAACCGAAAATCCAGCTCCCCCTTCTTCGCAGCAGAGGATAATGTTACATAAGCAGCGGAATTCGTGACAGAGGTGGTGCGAACTGGTCCTCGTCCAGCGGTTTTGCTAGTACCCCCTGAAGCAGATGCTCCTCCTGCGCTGCTTTTGTCCACCACAAACCAGGTCAAGACTCCCCGGTGTAACACGAAGTATCTTCTTTTCCAGTCCCGCAGAAATGTCGGGCTTTGCTTCTCGAAAAAACCCTCGCAGCGGACAAAATTCGGCAAAGTGAACAGCTTTTCGACGAGGAAGTAGGGGCGAAGCTTTTGGATTTCGTGGCGGGAGAGTTGTGAAGCCGAAGTTGATGCATTTATGTGGTCTTCTGTGTCTCGCCTTTCGGCTCCGTTGTTGGGCGGTGTCTTCTGTAGCTGAAAGCAGTCCATGGCAAGGCATGTATTTTCATGTTGTGTTCTGGACCACTGGAGCAGCTCTGAGAACGGAAAAACAGACTATGCTGTGCAAAAGTATTGTCGTACTCGTACCAATTGCAAATACGCATGACAAATCTTCCTCCTAAGGTAAAACAGCATTTACAAATTCCATTTTTTACCTTGTCAAAATTTGTAATGCAATTTATACTAGTACGTTACTTTTGCAATGCATACAGACTGCTTCTGCACGAAGTTTTCGTACGCGGTGAGGAGAATTTTTTCGAAGTTGTCAATGTGGCCACGGCAATTTGTGGCCCCTGATGTCAACATCTCCCGACCACCGAGCAACATACCCACAAACTCCGTCTTCAGCACTTTCCGCAACCTCAGGGACAGTGGGAGTTGCGGTTCGCCCCGGGGGCCTCTGCGCGAAGTAGACGAGCTTTTCTTGCTTATGGTTTTGATGTCGTTGTCTGTTCTATTTTGAAGATGGGCGGCGGAGGCATAGCTGCTAGTTTGCTGGGGCATCGTTGTTGTCGTCTTGCCAGCACCCTCCTGCTGCGTGACGTTAACTACGCTGTGCTTCTTCATATCCTGCCCGTGGTCCTCGAGGGCCGCGTTCTCAGGTCCTATTCCTACCAGCTGATGATGTTCTTTTCTTGTGTCTGAGACCACAGGTTGTTCTTGCGCATGATCTGGTATTCTTGCAGCTGTCAACATGCCTCGAGAGGTCATCGTTTTTTGCAGGAGCTTTTCCACAATCAAACCTTCCCCTTCTTCCAACAACCCACAGGCAACGGCGTGCAGAAATGTCATGCAGAGCTGTGAGTTTATTTGGCTGATTTTTTTCCTTTGCGTTTGCTCTCGTTGCTCGTTTCCATTCTGGATTTCGCCTGCAGGGGGCGCAGCCTGTGGTGCTCTTTCTTGAATATCCGTAGAGTTCTTGTAGTCAAAGCCGTCGTGGTCTATGTTCTCCCTATGATCGACACCGCCTTCGTATGATCGACCACTTGCGGCCACTGGCGCTGCGAACGGCCCCGCGCGCTGAAAAAACGCCGAGCTTTGGCTCGAGGTTCTGCTGCAGTGGTCATAATGTTCGTCGAAGTTATGGTTATCGGGCGGCTCGAGGGTAGCAGGTGAAGATGGGGACAGTGGAAAATGCTGTTTTTTCCCGTGAAAGGAGCGATCCCCTTGTGCATTGTGAAAATGCACATGATCCAGATCTTCCTCATGTTCCAGCAAAGTAGGACTGAAACAAGCGGACGACCGCCGCCTGCCCATTTTTGCGATACTGGCACTAGCCGGGGAGAGAACTCCGACGGGAGTTAGAATTTCGTGTCCTGCTGCTTGTGGTGCTTGATGCGCCGGTCTACTTGGGGGCGAATCGTACGTAAAGGCATTGATCGTGTGTCGGCGGTGGTAGGAAGGTCGGCCGCTACGCGGTGGCGGAGAGAAGTGCTGGCGGTCATCATGTGCGCTGTCCTCATTCAACGGCGGACTCGTCCCCTCAGAACTCGCATGTTCAAGGGCAGCACCTGCGTGCCCTCCCTCCTGAAGGTCGCGGCCATCATACTGCTTTTTCGGGGTTGATGGTGGTGACGCGCCCGGCGAAATCTTGCCTTGGTGCAGCTGGTAGTTGTCGACAGGCAAGTTCAACTTTGCAGCTTCGAACGGAATTATCCCAGAGACGGAGAAAGAAGACCGTCTGTGGCTTGTCCTTCTTGTTGACAATTCTGTGTCAGCCTCCTGGCCCCCGTGAAGTAGATCATGATCATGCTCTGGCAATTTATAGCCCTGCAACTTTTGTGTTTCGGCTGTCCTAGGATACGCCGAATGCTCCGACAAGGTCGTCGAGGTCGAGGCTCTTCGTTTTTTCAATCCAGAAGTGGATGCATTACTCATGGTCGATCCGCGCGCCGGAGTGTAGTTCAAGCCGGTGGTTGAGAAAAATCCGGCAGTTGTGCTGCTGCTACATTCTGTAGTTGTAAGAAAGTCGTTTTGATGGTTTTCATTTCCACCTCCGCACCTTCCGATCCGCAGCAGATACTCCACCAGCATCACCATGTTCTCGACTGGTAAAAGGTTTGCGAACAAGCAACAGAAATTCTCAACTGCAAAATCCCGCAGGCACTCCTCCAGCGGACACGTGTTTTGCTGTTTCTTCTCCGCTTTTCGGACGCTTTTGCAGAATTGCTGCTCGGAAATGCGGTTGATGTAACTAGTTGTCTTGCTTTGCGAGTGAAGTTCCGTGGGGAATATCTCGGCGACGACGGATCCGTGGATATGGCCGAGGTCGTCGATTCGGGATTTTTGCGGTTTCGCGGGGACCGCCGTACCTGAAGTGCCTGACCCTGAAGATGTCGAGGGGGCATCGTTTTGCCGTTCCTGCGCAGTTGCCGTCGCTGGAACGACGACTTCCACCTTCCCCGTCCTGGATAGCGTGATTCCCCGGGCCCAAGCGCAGCCGCTCGGGAAAGGGGGTCCTACTTGAACTCGCGGGACACCTTGCATGTTTTGCTGCTCAGGGTTTGATGTTTCAGGCGCCTTGCTGTCAGAAGTTGTATCGCTTCCTCCAGGAGTTTTAGTAGTTTTTCCTTGCGCCGGCGCGGCCTGTACTGCCACTTCTTGCTCCCAATTTGAGTGCATCACCCGGTGTAGTTTCCGCAACCTTCCCACAGCAATCGTCCCAAACGTGCGCGATTCCACGCGCAAGCCAAATAAGTCGTGCAGGTAAAACTTTTCCGGCAAATATGAAAGCCTCAGAATGGAAATCCTCAACGTGGAAATAATTTGTGATGCATGAAATGCGACGCAACAAAGACTGTATTGCAGAGGAGCAATGGAAGCCGACTGTTGTCGTGCTACGGGTTAAGAATTGGAGTGCTGATTAGCACGAGAGAAATGCACCCCTTTGCCTAACTAGCATGACAGACACGTTTTGAGTGCCCGGAAAATTTGTCATGCGCCGACTACAAATGGCGCTTCCACTGGAGTCGTTTTTTTGCATTACAAATTATTTCCACTTTGAGGATTTCCAACCTGAGGCTTTCATAGCAAAACAAACTCAACGAGAAAACAGAGAACGGCGAAGCAGAAAAACTCAACTTCCTCGTGAATGCGTCGTTCGCTATGTACCAGCCGACGGTGTGGAGATTTATTCGGAAAGTCGCCTGATGTAGTCCTTGAATCATCAACTCGATCTGCCTCTTCGCAGTAAAACGAGAGTAAAAGCGCGCCCACGAGGAAGTTCTGTCCTTGCGTGTAGAGGTTGGGGTATTTAAGAGCGAATTTCGTCAGAATTTTCTGCAACGAAGTCCGCAAGTTGTTCAACACCCGCTGCCTGTTCAGAGAGAGTTTGAAATCCTTCACCTTCAACACATCGCCCAAAGTGAGCCGGTCCGGCGAGTTGCAGGTTTTTGAATTCTTGTCTGGCGGGGCTTCTGATGCAGCAGGAGGATCTGCATGATGTTCTATTGCCGTCGTCGGCACAGGACAAAGTGAACAACCGGCGATCAGAACAGTCTTCGTTTGATGTTCCTCTTCTTGACCACGAAACCCATACCCACCCGGCGTACTAGCTCGACATGGTGAGCAAGACGGATCATCACGTTGCTGACCGGTAGTTCTTGCCTGTCCTCGACCTGATTCCTGCGCCTTTTTCTCCAAACATTCCGCCAACGGCTTGCAGGAGAAGGTCCTTGGCACATCCAAGCCTATCTGATTTTCAAGCTCCTTGCTGAGTTGCGAAAGATGACCTGCTGCTCTGCTGGCGACCGTTGTGTTGGGGAAAAAATCCGCTGCGCACCGTGAGAGAAACCCTTGTCCGAGAAAATGCTCGCGCCAGAGGGTTATCAAATGCTGCAAAAGTGTCTGGGTCTGGAACAAAGCAACTTGTCATGCTAAATCTGAATTATGTAGAAATCTGTGTTGCATGATTGCCAAAAGCTGTATATTTTTGACCTGATCGAGAGGCAGTTTCTCATGCAGGATAGACATGATAGAACTCTCACAGCATATGTCTTGCTATGTCCTAGATACCAGACCCCATGGGTCATGGAAAATCTGCATGACAAGTCTGGCACTCTCCCGGACCCAGACTACATTTTTGCAGTTCATAAGGGTCTCTCTCGTGGAAGGCGGGGCGGAGCGTGGGAAATAGGCTCTCGGCTCTTTTTGCTCCGAATGATCAGGCGGCGCAGCCTTTCTCTCTGGATCATCCACTTGGACATTGCCTGCCTGTGGCGATGCTATTGCTAGCGGCGAGTTTGCGGTCGAACAAGCATTCTGCTGCGGAGAAGAGAGAATTTGATCACGAGGCCGGTAAGAAGACTTTCGCTGCTCCTGGGAGCTGCCTACATCATGATCATTCCGCGGCGGAAAATTTGCTTTCGGAGTGCTGGACGACGACGGTTGAGCTCCTGAACGTGAACCACTACTGCTGCCGTTCTGCATGAGAAGTTCCTGCCTCTGCAATGCAGCGCTTCTCGTCTGTCCCGCGGCGCGGCTCGACCTGGAGGAAGACGGCGTCGGCGTGCCATTTCCCGCTCTCGTGCTCGGAGTGAGTTTCCGAATTTCGTTCGGCATGCAAGCATAGTACGCTGCAACCGTGCCGTCAGGGTTTATCATGATGTTGCAGCTAGCGGTTTGCGTAGGCAATAAAGGTAAATCCAAGATAAGAAAACCTACAGCATGTCAAAACGCGTGTATTCTTGTTCGAGAGCAGGAACAAAGAGTTGGTTTTGCGTCGAATGCGCAGGTAGTGCTCACCAAAGTCTACAACTACCAAGTCTTTAGAGTAGATCCTTTTGTCGTCTGCTCGATCTTCTCGATTACTATCTCGTTGATCGTGACTTGATACTTAGACTTCTTGCACGACTCGTCAGATTTGTTTTCATATCTTTAAACAGGCACGATCACGAAAAAGTAGAACCAACCATATCTCCGATCTTGTAATCTACTGAAACTCAAGAAACACTAGTATTTATATCAACACGAAGAGAAAAAATGTAAAGCGGGATCGCAGACCGAGCCCAACAGCACTATCGGTGCGTTATTGCACAGACTTATTCCGAGAACACTCCTACTGCTATTGCTATCGCACCAAATAACCCAGGGTGTTGCCTCATCATCGATGTACCTTTGCAGTCAGAAACTATACCTAGAAATTGAATTCATCGAGAAGTTTCTTTATTTTTACCGCTGCAGAACGCCATCGTACTTAGACCACTTGCCGCACGGTTGTACTTACTTCTCACTTCGGATCCTCAAACGGGATGAAGTCCATCAGATTGTTACAGTACCTCGGTAACGTCAGCCTGATCCTTCCGTTTTCCCCACCCTTGAATTCGTGTAGTTTCATCTGACAAGCGAGCCGACTCCTCCCTTCCACCGGGTCCGCGGCGAGGTCGAGCATGTCCAACTCTGCGTAGTCTGGTTCCGGGAAGAGTTTGTAATCCTCTTCGTGGATGTAGCAGTGACAGGTGGAACAGGCCGCGATCCCGTCACAAGCCGCTTCCACCGGGATTTCCGTCTCGTATTCCTGGAAAACTTGCACTAGTCTTTTGTGGTTCAGTTGATCCACTTGCTTGATCAACGGTTTCGCCGATGGATTGTTCTCCTGTCCCGGGAAGGTGACCTCGATGGTTTTCACTTTGTGCGGCTTTTCCAGTGGTTCGTCGGCATCGGTGGCGTATTGCGGGTAAACTGGGCGCTTGATGTCCTTGAAAAAGTCGCTGAAGTGGCGGATTGATGTGCGGTTTGTTGTAAAAGATGATGTTGAGAAATAAACGCTTTGCGAACGCGGATTTCGTGCCGCTCGACCAACAAGAGGATTTTTTACCCAACATCGGTGAGGAGGTCCTCGTGAAGATGTTGAGGCACTGGTCGAGCAACTACTGCAGGAACTGCCTCGCGAAGCGACGCTGAACAAGCGACAGGACGACGTGGTCGCAACATTTTTTGGTATCCTAGCGTGCTGTCGGAATGCGAGTGATGTTACCATGATTGGAAATTCTTGCTAGACAATAGAAGGCGCTCGTGGTCTACACCAAGCGGCTTCGTGACGGCGCTTTAGTCTCTCGCTTGTGCTATTCACCTCTACATCAGTCAAAAAGCATGTCATCAGCAAATAAGAGCTTCTTCTTGCCCCCGTTAAACAAAAAAGATTGCCATCCCCCTTACGAGCGATTGCGATACCTTTTCTGGTATATCAAGAAGCGACTAGTAGGTTAACGACCGCACACATGAAGGATATGCGCAACCCAGAAAAAATCTATGTGGACTGATGACTTTCCCACGAGTGGTGTGTACTTATTTCATCACTCTCGAATTACTTATGTTGCGCCTAGAAGTAGATGCTGGCAGCTTTTGATGAAGTGGATTAACACGAACTTCTACTATCCATCGCAGGGTTTTCAAGACCAGCTACTGGAGCGACCACGTGTCAGCTGCCGTGCGCTACTGCTACAGCTTTCGAAGTTCGCAAATTACGTATAGAATTCTTGTTCTTTGGGTTTGGCAGACCAGGGACATCACCTGCAGAAAAAGATTCGTTGGGTTTGTATCTCAGTACTAGGCACCAGCTCGTCCTGCACCACTTATTTTCCGCGGCAGAGGTATAGTTTTATCCACAAGCAATAGCAAAATGTACCTTTGCATGATTTAGTTGTGGACGACGTGGTCGTGGTGGTGGCGCGGTCGGAGACGCTCAAATTATTCAACAGAGTGCCACAAGTGTAGTTCGGGGCGCTAGATACTAGGTTCATTTTATATCTGTGAAAGTCAAAGTAGAGCTACAGCTAGGAGCTCCTGCTGGGTGAGTGCAACAAGGTGCGTGCATTTCATTGTACTAACATTGGGCTTGAAATTGAAATTTCGCATTTGTAGTTCGTTGTGGCACTAAGCGCAAGGAGTGTAAAAAAAGGACGACTCAAGCACTTGAAATTTATACTCACACTGGTGGGCATCTCCCTGGCCTTGGTTCGGATCGTGGTGCATTTGTCAGACTAGGAAACTACTTCTCGATGAAGTCGTGGCACTGCAAAAGGTGGATTAGGATTTCCATTTCGCACGTACCTCGACGCCATACATTGCTGAAACTATTGTAAACTGAAAACGTGACAAGCACTGTACTGAAAACGCTACTTGAAGTAATATTGCATTTCGATGTGAGAGAGAACGTAAACTGTAGTATAAATACGAGATTGAAATTGCAGCTGTGAAAGCGAAGCAACGATACTTAATGAATTGTCAGAGAACCGACGAGGTTGGAGCGTAGCCGAAAGACAAAGACATGCAACAGTACGAGACTCGAACTAGTGCTTGTCTTGCTCCTGGACCTCGTCGTGTATTCTCAAAGCTTATTGTATTTCTTGAAAAGCAAAAAAAGAAGCTGCACCTAACGTGCGAAAAAATAAAGTAGGGAGGATTTTTTCTGCTGCACTCGATGGCACGCGAAGGTAGGCTTTAATAGACTCAAGACTAAAGAATACAAACAGTCACTCCTCCTCACGGCAGAATCCCCATCGGTGCCGGCGTAGGATGAACACTGGCAGGCAGAGGAGCAATGGTCACCCTCTCCCCGGAGAGAAATCTGCGAAAAGACCGTAGCATGATGGACAACACAAATTGCTCCCTATCCTCGTTTGTGATTAGCACTGCACCCTGCCGCGCGGACTCGGTGTTATACCCGGCTACTGGCATGGATTCCGCTGCGTGGTAGAGGAATACGTACAAAGTCGTGGCCACTGCGTCATATACTTGCTGAATTGTCCAGGCGTTCGCGGTAGGATCGCAGGCGGTTTCTAGGGTGTTCTGTGAGTTGGTACTGCGTGAAACTACTTCTTGCTGCGGTTGTACTATTCCACCTTGTGATGCTGCTGCTGCTGCTGATCCTGAATTCGAGGTTGTCGCATTCTTATTCGCATTTTTGTTGAACAACGGCAGCAAATCATATTCGGCCCATTCAAAAAACCGCATGCAAATCCCGGCTAGCGCCTTGTTGTCCACGAAAAACAAATGTTGGTCCGCCAAGTAGTCTCTCGCGCGTCTCCTGAAAATCCGACCCTGCAAAGCCCGTTTGATGAATCGCTGGACGAAGAAGGTTTCTAATTTCTTATTGCTCACTCCGGCGATAGTGCTGTCGTCAAGAAACCCGTTGGAGGACATGGAGGAAACTGTACTTGTGGTACTGCTGCAACGGGAGAAGGAACTTCGAGAATTCGACTCTGTTGTTCCAGTTCCACCCCCGGAGGACGTTATGGTGCTAGATGTAGTAGACTGCGCGGACGTTTGTCGACTGCCGAATGATGCTGCTCCTCCCGCATCATGCCGTCGCATCCGATCTTGTTGCGGGGTAAAGTACACCGCGACATAGTCCATGGAAGCCGAGGCACTCGAGTGCGCGGCCGGAGACGTCGTGTAGAAGGTAGAGAGAAATTTTCGGGCGAGCGACTCCCAGGTGATCCAATTTTTATCTTGAGTTTCTTCTGTAGATCTAGATGCTTCATCAACATCCGCAGCTGCTTCTTCTCCCATTTCCATGTCGCTGTTCTTCAAGTCGGCTGTGTCATCACTACCCGGTTCAGCAGTCGGACTGTCAGACGGAGTAAATGCGGAGGTTGTGCCCGACGTGGCGTACGAAGCATCTTCGCTCCACCCAGGAGACCCGAACACTTTTGCCTGTTCTTCCCGCAGCAATCGGTTCAAAAACTTCTGTTTCACCTTCTCTTCTTCACTGAGCAGCCCCCTCGGATCCTCTTGCCCGTTATCCCACGCCTGTTCGTGCTCCTCCCTCGGTACTTTCCGGTAGTGCTGACTCGTTTTGATCCGGTAGGTGACCGATTGGACTAGCCTCTTCGCCATCTCCTCAAATTCCAAATACCGCAGCTTCGCAATGTCCTCCTCACTATCCACACCGCTGACGAAACTCCCCGCGGACCTCGTCCTGCCGTTAGAAGCTGCTCGCATCAAATTTCTCTTCAACAACGGCAAATTGCACTCGACTACCCTCACCGTTTCGAGGACAATGTCCTGCTCTAGTTGCTTTTTGATTTGGACTTCGTCCGGGGTAGGCTCGGCAAGAAGCTCTGCGGGAAATTGGAGCGATTTTGGAATGATGTTGTCATGACCACAAGGACCACCCGCTCGACTACTTGCTGGCTTTGTCAAAAGATACTGTGAGGATGTGCTGCTGCGGCCCTGCTGCTGTGCGGCCACGTAGGATTTTACCGGACTGTGCGGCTCGTCCTGCTGCTGTTGTTGCTGAAGTGCGGCCACGTAGGATTTTACCGGAGTATGCGGCTCGTCGGCCTCTTCATGTGCAGCTGCTTGCGATGCCGATTTATTTTCTCCACCAGTCTGCGATCGAAACCCGAACCCCCGGCTGGCAATGTTGAGCGTTCGTCTCATCGGGTTTATTTTCTCGTTCAAGACGACTGTTCCCAGAGCAATATCGTTTTCCGGCTGCACCTGTTTCGTCTGGGTATTCACAAAGGCGGAGAAGAGGGAGATCTGCTTCTTCAGCCCGTCGCTGTCTTTGAAAACTTTCGACTTGATCGGCAATTGCAAGGGCGGTTGCGTCGTGCCGTATGTACCGTAATGGAAGTTTTTTTGTTGCTCGTTCGCATTCAAAGTCGCAATTTTTATGTTGTTCCCATCGTAGAAGTTATCGCTGAGAGGTTCTCCTACTCCTAATGCTTTCTGATCCCTTTCTTCTTGCCGGATGCGTTCAAGTGCCCGCAAGTGAAGGTCTTCTTCACCACGAACAAACAGAGGGCTAGGAATGATGTGTCCAGTAGAGCCGCCGGGAATCATCTCGTATTGTTCGTCTTCTGTTGGTTGTGTGTTCGAGAGCAGCTGCCGCAACCGCAAATCGTCTTGTTTTTTTTCCTCCTGATCCATCTCCTGCTTTTCCCTCAACTTTTCTTCCTCCCTTTTCTTCGACTCAACTCCCGGAAGTAGTAGAAGCTGCACCGCCTTGGCCTGCTTCCTCCCGGAGGGTGCATGAGCATGACCGGCAGCTGTTCTTTTTATCGGTAGTTGTAGCAGGGCTGCGTTTCGGGCGATTGCTGAAGCAGTCGCAGCCGGAGGTTGGACAGGGACAACATCAGAGGACACTACTGACTGGTGCAGCACAGAGGACGCCACCGGGGGAAGAACAGGTGGCTGCTCATCATGCTCCCTTCCGTCGACACACCCAATTGATGTCCCGGTAGCTGTCCCTGCATTATCCCTTAATAGCTGCAAGTGATCTCGCTGCATCTCTGATCCAACGCAAGGTGGCTCCGGGATGTGGTTTTCAATGGGCTTGATGTAGGTCTGCTCTGAAGAATCTGGATAGTTATTGTGCCCGGATTTTTCCACTCTCGCCGACGACGCGTTGTTGACGCTGTGCTGCTGATCTTGGTTAATATTTTGCAGCTGCGATTCCGTTTCCGTCCGACAGCACTCTTCCTGCAAATTCTCTTGATCTTCCTCTACACGACCAGCACAGCAACCAGCCTGCTCCATTTCATCGGAAGAAGAGAAAAACGCGTAGCGCTCCCGTTCTTCGCCTCGATTTATTTCCCTTCCTCGGGAGCAGGAGGACCTCGCAGTAGATGTAGAAGTAGACGCCGCACAGCAGGAACTGTCCGGACACCTCGTGCTGACAGTCGACTCACCCCTTCGAAACAGCTGTTTCTGCGTCGCGGAGGACCGGTAGCCGCCGCATGAAGTAGTTGATGACGCGGCTCCTTGGCCTGGACTTAAGTGATTTTGATAACCGCCCGTGGTCGTTGAACAACAACTGCTGGAACTTGTGCAGCTGGACGGCCTCTTATTTCCGACCCGCTTCGATGTGGCTGCACCATAGTTGTCCCCAGACTTGTTCAAAAGGTAGTCGCCCGCAGGAGCTCCTGCTCCTCCCTGGTACGGATTATAACCCCCAGCACCTCCTCCAGTCCCGGCAGCGCCTATCGGTGACGCAGCAACGGAACTCAAAGTTGACGCGCAGGTCGGTGGGCGGGTGCTTAAATTTCCCCACCCCGGACTGTCGATCTCCGTGCTGGGAGTCGCGTCTTGTTCTACTTCTTCACCACTGAGAGTGAGGTGGTGATGGTAGCCAGGCACATTCTGTTTCCTCCCAGTCTTGTTGCTATTTCCTGTTGAGGTAGTTGCTCCTGTTCCCGTTCCCCCAGTCGTAGTACCTCCGATGCGGCGCAGCAGTAGGCAATCGGAGTTGATCGATTCAGTGTCCATCGAGCAAAGGGTCGTGGATGCCTTCTCGTCAACTTCTTCGTTTAGCTGATGCTGAGATGCGGTTGAACTTGAAACACTTCCAGCTGCAGAATTTGCATTCTCCGACTGACGTCTCGCGAGATTCCTTCTGGAGTGGTACGCGCCGGCCATGTTTTTGTTACTCACTTCTGGTGCTGGTAGCTGCTGCACCAGCCCGTTAATACTGTGCGATTTTTGATATCCTCTGGCGGGTAGAGGTGGAATGGTTTTCGCATCTTCCTCCTCCTCCTCCTCATCATCGGTGAACGTCGGACGAGCCTTATTGAGAGGAAAAATCCCCCCTCCCCATATTGAAAAGGTATGCTTCCAAAAATTTGTGTTGCGGATTTGAGGTCACAAGTCGCGTCTTGTCTTGCAAGAAGACAAGGGCAGAAGCTTCCGCCCCATTATGGCGGCGATTTGTCATGCTGTTAGGCCTAAAGGGGAGCCGTTTGTAATGCTAAGCACCTAGACCCAAACGCCCCTCCCTAGGCTGCGGATCTGGCTGCGATGCCGTATTGCAAGACAGCGCACATTTATGTACACAAATCCTGCATCACAGATTTCCCATTTGATATGGGGTGGGGGCTTTTTTCATTTTGATAAGCCTCCACATTCATCAACGCATCTTTTCTCCACTTCGGCTGCACAACGGCTGGGATTTGCGGCACTGCGGATCGTTCTTGTGGCGGGTCCAGGAAGAACCCCAACGAGGCAGTGGACCGAACATGATTACCATTGGCGTGGTTGTTCGACGAGGTGGAGCTGTTATTTCGGTGCAGAAAAAAAGTTGACGCTCCAGGTGCATTTCCATTTTTTTCCCCTGAATTCTTGTATCCCCGACTGTTGTTGACGTTGTGCCCCCTAGACGTGGTCGCAGAAGTCGTCCTGGTAATGCAACCTTGAGACGATGAAGAAAGAGGTTGTTCTCCTGCGGGATTGTCTCTTGGCCCAAAGGGGATTCCACCAGTTCCAGTGCCGGGTGATGCTGATGGGGGTCCCTGAACCTCCATCAACCGGGCCCGTGCGGTATGTGGAGCAAAATTATGTCGCGCAGACGCGGGATTGACATTCGGCGAGGAGGTGGAGCTCGTGCCATGAACGTGATAGCCACGCCCGGCATTCGACGCACTATCATTGCCATTATTCTCTGCAAACAGCCTAGACCAGCCGTTTCGCAAGCCGTGAAAGAAATTGTCCACTGCGTTTGTTCTCTTTGGGAGAGGCGCCTGCTGGTGGAGCTGCTGCTGGTGTTCCGAAGAACCTGGGTGCGCTGCTGTTGTTTGTGGTCCGGTACTAGTGCCACGCGCTTCTACCGAAGTTCTTGCTACTTGCTCCGGGTCGTTTGAATTTGATGCTACTCTTGAAGTACTAGACGTCCTACTTGCATTAGAGATTATGCTGTCGGACACTTGCAGTGGTCGAGACGAAAGCGTAGACCCGTAGTGGCGATCCACGACGAGGGCATCTTCGTGGCCCACAGGCGCTTGCTCTACTTCCTGCGGAAAAACGAAGGTGGCGTGCGCTACTGGACCGCTGGTAAACAAGAAGCAAAACGAAGAAAACATCACCAGCCTGGTGTTCGCGGAGGAGGCACGGGCAGGAGCGACTGCTTGCAAGCGTGAGCGATCCGCGTCGCACATTTGTGGGAGATCATGCGCAAAGCGAAACACTCGGACCGGTGGAGTTGTCATGGTTCTATGTTGTTTTCACAGAAGGCAGCTACTCTCCTGCGGACGGTGGAAACGCATTTCATTTGTTGCGGCCAAAAAAAGGGCGACAAGTTTCTAACGCAGGTGCTCGCGCAAGAAGATAAGCTATCTCTTTATGACACCGTGGATAAGGTTGGCATGCTGGTGCGGATGGCCATAGCTACAGAGCACGAATCCAGACGAAGACGCTGCTAGATGCAACGTAGAGAGCTGGGCTAGTGCGCTCGTCCTCGCTTGGCTTTATTTCTGTTTTGTCGGTCTTTTCCTTTTGGATAAGTAAATATGAATGTTGAAACGACGTGAGACTACACTTCGCAAAATACGCATACGAGAGCGGCAAGTCTTTCGCGAAGAGAAGTGACTGAGGATCGAGAAAGAAATCCTGACTTTAGGCCGTTCCCGGGGCCTGAGGCGAATCAATGCTAACGGCTCGTCTCGGGTTCAAGCACACGCACGAGCACTGGGTGGCAGAAAATTGGCCAATCAAGCTCTTCTTGGACAAAGGACTTCATACCCATGCAGCCACGGAGATGGGCTATATTGACTGTCCTCAACGACGTGGAAGAGCCAGGCCTTACCACGGGCCGCCCACACACACGGGCCCTGCTCAACAAAAGATACCTGCCTCTTGGGGCCGGGCGCGCCCCCGAAAGGCAGGCTGCGCTGATAGGTGTGCCTGCGCGCTCTCTACGTGCGACAAACAGACACCGAATTACCCGGCAACACACTAAACTACGGGAGACAGGGGCTTGCCGGGCTTAGAAAGACCCCCAACGCCCACCCCCCTTCCCATGAGTGTGCGGCGGGCGTGGGCGCCCAGGATGTAATTAACAACGGAGGCGCCGGACGTATGGCAACACTCGGCAGGGGGCGGGCGCGCCAGAAAATGGCCCCCCTGCTCGCAGAGTGGGGCGCACGCACCCAGCCAAAAGCGGCCCGGCCGGCGGGCGCGCGCCAGGGGAAGTAAGAGAGGGGCGGCAGGGGCCTGGCGCGGCACGCTCTTCGTTTCCTCATCCTTCGAATTCACTAGCCAAGGGCCCCCGCCCGATCGATGCCGGCCACCTTTTCTTTGGTCTTCTAATTCACCCCCCCACGACCCGGCCAGCCTGCGGGAACAAAGAATAGACCCGGGCGCCCGGGGGGAGGGGGCGCTGCATGGCCCGGCCCTCCCGGATCGATCGCGCAGGCCCGCCCTGGGCTTTCCCAGGCTTTGGCGCGGTTTCTGCGCCAAGATCGCAACGGCATCCGCCTTCGTGGTGTCTTTGATCTCTTCCGTGGGTGGAAGGCCATACGGCTTTCCACTGGGCGGCCGCGGAAAAACAGCAAAAAAGCGGCGCGGTCGGCTGGCGGAAAATTAACAAAGCTCAGGCATATGTCGCACCTGGCGAACGCCCTGGGTCGGGCCCACACGGGCCAGCGCACGAAGCCGAAGGCGGGCCCCGAGCTGGGCAGAGAGACCGGGGGCGGGCGCCAACAACCAACGTCAGGGGATCTCATATCTCCCTCCGGTTCTTCGGCGAAGAAACAAAGTAGCGCTGGCTTTGGTCTTGCGCGTTGTCATGGCCGCCGCGCGTTGCTCAGTAACGGCCGGGGTTTTGGTGTCCAAGTCCTTCTCCATCAATGCGGGGACGTCATAAACCGCGATGCCCTGGAAAGGCCCGCCATTACTTGCCCCCCCCGCCCCGCCTCCCCCCCGCCCGCCGCGGGACCGGAGGCGAGCGCGACGAAGCCCAACCGCACCGGCGGCCGCTTCAGGACTAAAATAAAGCATAAAACTGCAGTGGGTCCGCTGCGCTCGCTAAAAGGTGAATTTGGCATCGCTAGCGCTACCAAGAGTGAACATAAAGTGACGAGGCTTTCTTCCTCATGCGGCCGCTTTGCCAATGGTGGCGTAGTTCGTTGCCGTTGAAAATTCTACACTGGTGGAAACCACTTGAAAATGTGTTCATTATGTTATATGCCGATGCTCGGCGTGATGCTTGTAAATAAAGTCTTTTCCTAATCCTATGAGGCAAAATTATGCTACAAAACAACAACACTGGACTGTACATGACATGAGAAACGAGACGTGGATGTCATTTTTCATTGTTCGAGCTGTACATAATCATAAACAAAACACGATGAAAATGACGAAGCCTTTTCTTCCAGTCCTCCAAAAATCTTCAAAAACTGCGGTCTATATCATCTACAGATCCAGCCGCCAATTCTATCTTCGAACAGAAGGCGCGACATGAGCGGCCATGTCTTCCGCCTTCACGACGGGAAGCGCGGCCGTGTAATGCCCACCAACGTTGATGATCACAATGGTCGGCACCCCGCCGTGCAACTGAAGGATTGGCTTTTGCAAACTCCGCAGCTCCTGCAAGCCCCGCCCGCTTCCGTACCTCTCAAACACCTCGGGCACCAGACCCGTCATCAAATCGCCGCGGTCGCGGAAGATGTGGAGGCTTTGCTGTTTCAGCTTCTCGTCGGAACAGGTCTGCCGGTTCCGGACGAGAACCCGGATGTTTACTTGCAATACGTGCGCAAGAGGTCCGATTTCCTCGGCCGTGACTTGCGAGCCGGACTGCGACATATACTCCAAAAATTCGTCCCACGTGACCTCGTGGCCTCCCATCTGATTTTCAAGCTCAGCTGTGATTTGCTCCTGGCTGCGCTCCCCCTGATGCTCCGCTGAGGCCGCTTCTGCAGTGGACTCTGTCATGCTCTTCCGCTTTTTCGCAACCTGCTTTTTCACGAAGTCCTTCCATTCTCCACCTTTATCAGAATTGAAGTCCTCCAACCGAAGTTTGGCCCAGGTCCCAACCCGCAGTCCCCCGTCGCGCTGGGAAAGCTATGAACTGCGAAACAAGTATCGCACTCGTATAAATGCATTTCATGCATTTCTCATCATGCATTTCTCATCATGCGGATAAGGATTTCATTTCTCATCATGCTGAGGAAATTTGTAAGACAAATTTCCTCAGCATGATGAGAAATAAAATTTGTAATGCGGATTTACCTAAAGAACAAGATTTGTAATGCATGTCTGCAATTAGTACGAGTGCGATACTTTTGCACAGGATAAAAGCTCTTTATGTGCGAAATTCGGGTCCCGAATGCGCTCCATCATTTTCGTCCGGAGGACTTGCACGTCATTCAACAGCTGCTGCCCCTCATCTGCTCCATATTTGTACAACACGCCTGCCACACAGAACGGGTTTTGCCTGCAAGCGTATTGGACACTGTGCAGCCCACAATTCCCGTCGCCCCCCGCTTCGACGATTTGATACTCGTTGAAAACACCACTTGCGTGCAGAAATTCGAATTGCTGCTGCAGTTTGATGGTTTCAGCTCGCTCGATTTCTTCCAGTTCCTTGCGTTTTTGCTTTTTTAAAGCTTCCGCTTGTTGCTCGTCTTGCAAGTTCACTAGTTGCGGTAAGAGCTCTTGCTGGTGCTGCTCTAGCCGGTGTAGCTCTTGCTGCAATGTCTCTACAGCTGCACTTGTTTCGTCTCCCAGCAACAATTTTTCCACAATGGCGGCCTTGGTTTTCACATCTTCCTCAATATCCTGAAGCTGGGACTGCAACTGCAGAATCTGGTGCTCTCTCAACTCCTCCGCTTCTGCAGAGAAGTTGTCTGGCCCTTTTCGCTTTAGTAAGTTCGTCGTGGAAACAATTTCTACTTCTGCAGGAACATCGGCTGATGAACCCGAAGCGCTGCTGCTGCTGGCGCCGGTTGGTGCGCCGTTGCCGTTGTGAATGTGGTGCTGTTCTTCTAGTACACCAGAAGCTGCTAGATGGGCAGCAGCGTCGCTCTTTACTTTCCGTTGAATTTTCCTTGTGAGGCGCGCTTCTGCAAAGAAGGTCGTAGAAGCCAGGGTTGGGGATGTAGAAGTGGCCCCAGTAGCGAGTAAGTGACAGAGCGTGACCCATGTGGCTAAATCGGAAAAGTGAACCAAAATTAAAGCCGACAGCATTCTGATGCCTCGTGCACTCTGTGTTCTTGTTAAGTGCGACATTTTATTGAGGTTTCGCAGTACTGCTTCAAATTATCTAGTAGTTAAGAGGAAGGAGCGGAGCTGACGCCGAGGCGGTGTGATGAACGCACCAACTCGAGCCTTAACTTATGTGAGCGTGTTTTATTGATCAAGTCAACGTGTATTGTTGATCTCTTGAGTGGACTAGGGAACAGTGCTGTCGTTTTTCTTAACTTGTTTGTAAGTACAGGAACGACGACGGATGCTCATCAAAAATAGACAGTGTTGCATATTCGGTGGAAAAAAATTTCGTGACAGAAAGTAAAACGTCAGATATCGCTGAAATGGCTCTCGGTTGCGAAAAAAGAGGACATAGCTTTCTTGCACCAAGTGAACCGATGGCACATTGTTGGGATTTTTTCGACATAATGCTCCAAAAGTACTTGCATTTAATACAGGACAGTGTTGGCATAGCATTAGCTTTCTCAGCACTTCTACAAAACCAATCAAAAAAAAAGCCATGGCAATGGAAAGCCCTTGTCCCTACTAGCTGTTTGCTGGATGTGATGAAAATCTCGGGCAATTGTGCACGGGCATCCAGATTCCACGGAACACACCAAGGCAGGGGGCGCCAAGAAAAAATTGCCCGAGGCACCGCTAGGTCGGTGCCTAGCTGTGTAAGTATCACTGTGGCCCGGCCTTGTGCGTGGGAATCGCTGCTCGGCCGGCTGAGAAAAACACAGAGGAAAAGCGACCGGGCCCACGACGGATCAATCAAAACGACAAACGTGGCGTCCGGCCCCCATTTGTTAATTGCAGCCCCCTCTCCCCCCAACCTCCCGCGGGCGGGCGCGGGCGCCACCACTCGCCTGCGCATAATCTGCAGCGGGGGCGCAGCATCAACACACAAACACCGCGGGGGGGGGGGGGGCGCTGGGCCAGAAACACGGGCAGGCGGGCACGGGGGACGCCCTGCCGGGCCACCCGCGGTAGACAAGGCTCCGCCGGCCCAGCGGCGGAAGCACCCCAAGCAATGGCTGGGCCCCACCCGGCTAGCGCCCCGCCCCGCTGGTCGGCGCCGGCAATCTCGTACGCCCGGGCGGGCGGCCCATGCGCCGGCCTGGGCGAAATAAATGAGACGGCGCGCCCCCCGACGCGCGCGGTCGGCCATTCTATCGCGGCGGATCGCAGGGCCTCGTGCAATTTATGTAGGCCCAAACACTTCGCGCGCCGCAGTCGGCAGAAATGTGGACGCTTTCCACAACGGCCCGCCCTCCCCCGTTTTTTGAATTCTGCCGCGTCCCCGCCTGCGCGCATGCCGCCCAAGCGCGTCGGCCGGGGGCAATGGGGCGCCGCGGGCGCCCGAAGGGGTGCGGCGCGTCGCAGGGCCTGCCCCAGGCCGCCGCGCGCCCGCCTGGGCGCCCGCTTGCGTGTAGCCTGGCGCCTTCGCTGGCCCTTGCCGGCGCGCGCGCGCGGGCGCAGACAGCGGCGCCGGCAAACAGAGGCAGGCCGGCAGATCGCGGCCGCGGCCGCGCTGCCCTTGCTGCGCAAAACGCTCGCGCCCTCCCTCTGGGGCGGGGGAAGAACGCGGCCCCCCTCCAGGCAGTCAACTGCCCGCCGGGCTGGGAATTGTGGGCGCCGCCACGTGCTCACTTGTCTGCGCTGCAGTCCTTCACAGGCCCGCGCGTCGTTGCAAGCCTTTTCGTTCCAGAGTCGATTTTTAATGGGCGCGCGCGTCTGCGCTGCAGCCCTCAAGCCTCACACCGTTGCCCCCTTTTCGTTCCAGAGTCGATGAACACCTGTGGCAAAAAGCCTCCCGTCGTGAAATAGCCACTCAATCGAAACAAAAGCATAAGCACAAGCGATTTCTTACTATGTTCGTTCTGTAGTTCTTTCTGATCATTTCCCTTTCGTCAGTCGTAGCAGTTGCTCTAGGAACGAAGTAGTAGATCACAGCGCGTGATGCACTGTGGCTGAGATGACCCTAAGATTTTGCAGGCATGATGCACCTTCGTTCATCGTCCTTTCTTTCGTCAAAAAATCATGGGAGAGATTTCTTCTCTACGTTTTCGACCTCAACATCACCCGGAATGCCGGGCCGCATGGACTTTCTGCAGTTGGGGCTGGATATAGTCTTCAAGGCACAACGACTTTCGTACTCGTGTGGTTGTAGCGACTGATACGAAATATAGCCGCCGGGGCGGGGGTAGTGAGGTCGTGGGCGTTTTTTTGCCGACCGCCGCCTTGGCCGCGGCTTTGCTATTTCTGGGCTCGCCATACCGCCGTGAGTAACGTTATGCCGCACGGTATTGCGGCCACTTGGGAAACGTCACAAATTTTGGAACATTTCCAAAATTCCTTTCCGAAAGCCAGCCCCGATGCTATGGGGCCGATCCGGGTGCCAAGGGGGGCGCCCAAAAAGCGAAGAAAAACCGGGCCCATAGCATGCGGATTGGCTTTGCGCGTCTGGGGCGCTTTTTATTTTTCGCGTTTTTATTTTTCCCGCCGGCGCTTTTTGCAAAGCTTCCCCGGCTCTAAAACCGGCGAAAAGGCGGCCGCTTTCGCGGCCGCCCAAAATGCTCGGAAATCGCGGCCGTGCCATGCTGTTTCGCTGTTCTGATTTTGGGCGCGTTTTTTGCGCGCCCCTTTTTGGGCTCCCCAAATCGGCAGAAACCAAGGCGGTGGGCGCCTCAGAAGGGCGCCCCTTTTGCCGGCTCCCCTGCGTCGTTTTATCAAGTGCGAATCGATAGTTTTCGACCGGGCTTGTTTGCCAGCAACGCTCTGCCCGCTTGATAATTGAGAATCTTTTTTGTCAAAAAACGCTTCCGCCCGCTTGAAAACTGACGGCCGTTTTGCTGTCTGGCTGTCAAAAAAACTCCCTGGTTAGAACCGTTCGGTGACCTCACTACATACAATAGTTGTTTACTTTGGCAGAAATTCTGAAAACAAAAAAAAAAAGAGAATTAGCGAGGAAGCTTATCGACAACAAGATGGTTATCGCTTTTACGGCGATGTGTTATATTCTCAAAATGTTAATAGCCAGGGTTCTTCTTCTTTTGAAATAGCAACTAATTTGTGACCTTTAGGTGGCATATTTCGTTTGCAAGAATCTTGTTGATTTTCATGAACTATGTTGATCGTCTTTTCCTAAACAGTTTTCAACCATAAACATCTTCACCGAACCAAAAAAATATAAAAATCACTGCATGATACGCTCAGTATTCTCAAACAAAAATCTAAATTATCGAAGACCCTATCTATTTTTACTCATACATCATGATCTTGTTCTTCGTCTCCTGTCGCTTTCTTATCATAAATAAAATCACCGCTAAATAAGAACTGCACCATCTTCGCCACAAATGATCCCCCACACAACCGAACTCCCGCCTCAAAAATCCCCCAACATGAAAACGTGACTCGTCAATAACGTGAAGAAGTGCAGGTTCCACTGGTAGAGCGCAAACGCCCCCGGACTGGCCACTACCGCGGGGAGAACGTGGTGGGGCACCCCGTAGCTCTGTCCCGAATTCACGCCCCGCATGTTCTGCAGTGCCTGTGCATGGTTTCCGTGGATGACCCCGTGTTTGGTGATTTCCTGCTTCATATGCATTGCAAAAGTATCGTGATCGTAGTGATCGTCGGTATGCATTACAAATCCCGTTGTTAAGGCAGACCCGCATTACAAATTCCATGTGTTAATACGCTGAGAAGATTATTTGATGTCATGCGCTTTCTACTAGTAGTAGTAAGGCTAAGGCTAAAGTACTTTTGCAATTCATACTTCAATAAGTTCAGCAACTGGTCCTTCGACGCGTGCGGGTTGAGGTTGGGAGAAGATGAGCCTGTATGTTGATGATTACCCGCATTTTGTTGTCCTTGTCCCTTCGCTGGTCCTGGTGGTACATTTTCTTCCTCCCCATAGATGGCGTCGATCGCCTTCCCGAAGTTGGACGAAGCAACAGAAATCCAGTGGTCTGCGGATTGGTGTGGGTCACCGCGAAGGTGCTCCAGAAACGCGTCAATGACCTCGTCGAACTCGAGGGAGTAGTAGACCTGAATTGTTGAAAAGTTGGGTAACTTCGCTATGTAACACAAACGTGCATTGCAGATGTAGTCTCTCATGATCTTGTACAAGTCAGAGACTGTGAAAATGAAGAAAATGCATGACAAAAACTTTGTCCAGCAAAACACGAATGATACCGCATCCGCCAAACTGGTGATATATTTTTCCGTCGGGCTGGTCCACCGAACTCTCTCCCCCCGCTCTGCATTTGTATCCTGTGCAAAAGTATCGCGCTCGTAGTAATCGCAGTCATGCATTACATATCTCTATCCCAAGGCAAAACAGCATGACAAATTCCATGTGTCATGCTGAGTTAATTTGTATTGCAATTACTACTAGTACGATGTTTTTGCAGTTCATAATTCGCGTCCCCGGCTAACTCGACTGCTTGCTGTGTCCTCTCCACCACTGTCCTCACTTCTAACCGCAACTGCTCGCTCAGAACCTTCCGCACGTACCCGTTGACCAATTCGTGTTTGAGATAAACGTCGACCACTTGGGCGGACTTCGGCAGGAGCGTGTTGGTACTGTCTGCAGTAGATGGAGCAGTAGTTGCCCCAGCACCCGTCTTGTTCTTCTCTTTACTGTTACCTTTAGTACTGCCACTATTTCCACCAGTAGCTCCTGCGGCTGATCCTACAGCACCCCCACCACCAGCAGCCCGGGTCAGCGTTGGTGCTTTGGTGGAATAAACCACTTTCCCTAGTTGTTCTGCGGAAAGGAGGTCAGAGGGGAGTAGAAATCTGAGCCTCAGAGCGTTGGAATTTCGATATTTTCTCGCGTTCAAATGCGGGCCCGTGCAGGGTTGCCAGTTTTGCTGTTGCTGTTCGCCGTTTGTTTTTCCATCTTCCGCGGCTGCGCCACGGCCACTAGCACTACGGCTATTAACATCGTGGTCCTCATCCGCTTCGTGGTCTCTGCCATAGCTGTAGGCGGTTACAGATTTCACCATATGCGGATTCGCAATGCCAAGCGCCTCTGCAGTTGCGGTAACATCCGCAGATGGTTGTGCCGTTGCGGGGATGCCCTGGTTGTTCTCTTGTATCTTCTTCCGCAGGTCTGGACTGGAGCCTGGTTTGCTGGAAAGACGTTTGTTCGACGAGGACAAATCGGTTTGTGAAGTAGATGCGGCAGCGGACGATGACGGTGAAGAAGCTTTGTCTCCGTCCGCCGCTAGAAACATGGAGCAGTCGTGTGAGCTATTGGGGTCTGGTGGGATAAAGTGCATCGAGATTAACTGCGGCAATTGCAGTGGGGGTTTAGCACCACTTTTCTTGTTCCCTTTGGTACTATTTTCTTGCTGCAAACCGGTAGTCGTCTGTTCCCACAAATATTCCTGCGCGAAGGTCTGCAACACTTCGGAAAGCCCAATGTGCTCCAACACGAGGTAAATTCTTCGCCACCAGACCCACAACACCCCGTTACGCAAGAAGTTCGCGATGTCTTTCCGGAGGAATGACAGTGCACAACCCCCCCTCCCCCTCATTTGTCATGCAAAACACCAAATCCAGGCACTGCGTCTCTTTGCACTGTTTGGATGACCACAAACTCCGGAAGCCCAAACAGCACTACACTCGTGTGCAAATTTGTCATGCACAGCCGGCATTCTTGCTGGCAATTGTATAATTGCCGTCCATGCTACACAAATAAGGGGGAGGGAGGGTTGTGCACTCTCATAGGAGGAATTTCAAATCGTCCTGCTCGGTGAACTCTTGAAAGAGGTTTTTCGCGAAATTGTGAAGAACGGAAATGATGTCGGAAATGGGACTGGTGCCGAGAGAAGGGGCGCCGCTGTCTTGGTTAATATTTTCTGCTGTGGTTGCAGCTAAAGTTGATGTTCCGTCTGCTGGTTGCTTTTCCCTACTAGTAGTACTCTGCTTTCCACCGACTTTGTTGTTGTTCCCATTTCCATTCCCACCATTGCTCTTGGCAGCCTTAGCCTTCTCTTTATTTTCCTTAGTGCCTTTCTTTGAACCTGCTGCTGGCTTAGCCGCACTGCTGCCGGAAGTTGTCGTTGCAGAAGAAGTTTCTGCACCAGTACCTGTTGGCACTGGCGGAATCCCGTCCGGTGTTGAAAGACTGTATCCAACAAAAAAGTATTAGCGTTAGCGTTTTGTATCCCACGAAAATAACCCATCCCCATCGTAATTGCCATTTTTACGGTGCAAAAAAATAAATTAAAATAAACAAAAAAATTAAAAAAAAATGCGACTTTTCTGATTTTTTTTTGCGAAAAAAAAAGTCGTGGCGTCAGTTAGCTTCGTGATAACTAGTCAGAACAGCCGGCTTGAGAGGAATCGCTAGTGATGATGTGAATAAAGTAGCTAGCTCCAGGCATCCTCAGGGAAGAACCGCCAGCAATGTCTCTGTCCCGAGGGCGCGGCCCTTCCTCGTGGTCTGCGGCCGCGCTCCTGGTCGTGGTCGGTGGCGGCGCGGAAGGTCCTGCGCGCCGGCGGCCTCCGGGAGGGCCGCACAGGCCCGCTTCGCGCCGGAAGGGCGGCCGCCCTATCCTCCGCCTCCCTGGCCCCTAATTAGGCCGCGTCCGCGGCGACGGAATGGTCGCGCAACTGGTCACCTGGCTTGTCCAGAAATGGAGGTCCGGCAAAAATGGTTGAGGGCAGACGCAAGCGAAGAAATTCAAAAAAATTCCAATTTTTCGCCAAAATCAAAAATCGACCAAAAATCTATCACGATGGGTTATTTTCGCCGACCTGTATAGGCTAAAAAGCCTACTTTTTTCGAAAAGTGGCCCGATTTTGATTTATCTGGATGGGTTATTTTCGCCCGACCTGAGTCGGGCAAAAAGTTGCTCTTTTTTTGCTTCAAAGCCGGCTTTTTTGTAAAAAAAAAACTGGGGTTTTCGGGGTATACAGGTCGGCGAAAATAACCCATCCAGATGATTTGCAAAATTTCGTGACTTTTCAAAAACCCAAAAAAGGCGAGCAAAAAGCTCGCGCCTGCCCCGACCTGAGTCCGGCTAAAATGTCGCTCAGAGTGTTTACTTTTTTGAAAGAAAAAAAATCGCCAAATCAACGGACTCAGGTCGGGGCAGGCGCGCGCTTTTTGCTCGCCTTTTTTGGGGTTTTGTAAAATAGCGAAACTTTGCAAATCATCTGGATGGGTTATTTTCGCCGACCCGTATACCCCGAAAACCCAAGTTTTTTTTTCCCAAAAAAGCCGGCTTTGAAGCAAAAAAAGAGCAACTTTTTGCCCGACTCAGGTCGGGTGAAAATAACCCATCCAGATAAATCAAAATCGGACCACTTTTCGAAAAAAGTAGGCTTTTTTGCCTATACAGGTCGGCGAAAATAACCCATCGTGATAGATTTTTCTGCATTTTCGGAATTTTGAAGAAATTTGCCAAAAAAAAGAAAAATCTGATTTTTTCCGGTTTTTTGAACAGATATTTGCGGAAAAAATCCGAAAAGCTCAAAAGTCGCAAAAATTTGTCCGGATGGGTAATTTTCGCCGACCTATTGAGGCCAAAACGACGGACAAAACAGGTCACGGGCTTTCATCTATGGTCGCGATGTGGTGGCAAGCAGACATGGCGACGGTGATGTGGGAAAAAGCAAGCAAACCAACGGCCCTGACGGCCCTAAAGCGTATCCGTAGCCGGCGCTGTCTCCCTGTCTGACGCCCATCTTTCGGTGGCTTTGTTGTCGCGGCTTCGCCGGGGATGCCTTGAGCTAGCTAATTCAAAGCAAACACTTCTAGATGAATCGTCTCAGGCTGCTTCTGTCATAGTCGTCACGTGCTAGCTAACACCACGAAGCCCTTCCGCATGGGTAGCAATTTTTTTGTTTTTTTTTCAATTTTTTTTAGCGTTTTTTGCAAAAAAAATAGCAATTACGATGGGGATGGGTTATTTTCGTGGGATATTTTGAGATTTGTTCGAACAAACGATTTTTTTTTTGATTTTGCATGTCGAGTCGGCTATTTTCCGTTCAGACGAAAGATTGCTATCCAATATCATTCAAACAAGCGCCCCACCCGCCACAGCAGCTTGATGGAGCGCAGGTTGGAGCTCCGACCCGGCGTCCATTAGCGCCTTCGGGGGGACCAGCAAAATACCCAAAGACTTCTTGCCGAAGTCCTGCACTTTTGCACGGTCGCAAAAAAAAACGCTAATAAACTCTTGATAGCGTGCGGAAAATGTAAACTTATGCCAAGGCTCAAAAAACGCTAATAAACTCATGATAGCGTGGGGAAGTTGTGAACTTACAAAAGTGCGTCTTTTCTTTCGTGAGAGGCTCCCCGACGCTACCATGAGTTTATTAGCGTTTTTTGTGAACCTGAGAAGAGAGACGCTCCTCCGACGCTATCATGAGTTTATTAGCGTTTTCTTTTGCGACCATGCAATTTCGCCTCTGCTCAGGGGGTCAAAATGACCTCCGAGGACAGAAACGCTAATGCCAGACTTTGGGAAGCTTGATCATCTTGCTCGGGCTCAAAGGCCGCAAGCCAAAAACGGGTCTTCAGGCACTCCAAGAGCGACGGCTTGCCAGCCCCCCGCATGGCCAGGAGGTCGCGTAGCCGGAAGTCCCTGAAGCCCCAGACATGTGCACGGCCTAGCCGTCGCCCACATCTTTGGCGGTATCATCTCCGATCCGCTTCTCGGCCGAAGAGACTGCTTCCACTGCTTCCAGTTAGCGCGGTTCTGTCTGAACGGAACACAGCTACGTCACTAGCTAGAATGAAAAAAAATTTGGCTTTCGCCAGCAAATGCCAAAACGCTAACGCTAATGCTTTTTTGTTGAATAGACTGCTGTTCACTGGCGGAAAAATCCCGTCCGGTGTTGAAAGACTGCTGTTCACGTTCATCGTCGATGAAGCTGCAGCAGCTTCCTCTCCAACTTCACTCTCGTCCCGTTGCCCCTGTTGGAACTCCAGTGCCGCCTTCTTTTCCCATTCAAAAGCGAAGGCTGCCATCTCTGCAGCAGTAGTTGCACCACTCGAGGAGCGCGTCGTGTTGCTTGTCGGCAACGCAAGAACGCTAGTTCTTGAAGTAGAATCTTCTTCATCACCTCCTCCAGGTAGCGAGACCGGCAAAGGGGGGATTTCCGGCGCAAGATCACCTCCCCCATTCTTCGAAGATCCTACCGGTGGCGGAGGCAATTTCGACGCAACCGCAGTTTCTCTCCTCTTTTTCCATTCTGCCAAAAGCTCCGGACTGGGCGGCTTCAGTAGCCGTGGCCCTGGTGCGGCGACGGTGACATTGCCAGCAGCGGAAGGGCCTTCTCCTTCTCCTGCGTTAGGAGCACCATTCTCCGCAGGAGCTCCAGCAGCCGGCGGCAACGCGGGCAGAGGTCGAGCTATAGACGCAGAACCTGTGGACGTCGAACTAGCTCTTTCATCAAACAACTTCGGAATGGGAGGCAAAACCAGACCTCCACCTGCAGCAGGTGTTACACCAGGTCGTGGCGCAACCGCGTATTTCCGCTGGAGCAAACTCTGAATAATGCCCGCCTTCGTCTGCTGTGTTTTCTCAGACAAACTCTCCGCGGGTGCTTGGGTCAAAGCGGTTTGGAGATCGAGCGCGGCCGGTGGATTTAAAAACTTTTGTCTTGCTTTGTCAGCAACTTCCGTCGGAGAAGATCTGCTATTCCCGGCACCAAGTTCATCTGTTGAGTCCTCCTCGTCTCCTACTGCCTTCTCGTCCATCTCTCCTTTGATCTGCTCTAGATTTCTTTCCAGCAGGCTCAACTTTTCTATCCGGTCCTGCTCTCTTTCTAACTCCAACGCCAGCGCTTCCGCGATTTTGTCCATGTCTTTATCTGATGTCGCTTTAATCGCCTCGGTGATCACGTCGTACTGTAAACCAGTGGAAGTAGAAGTGTCAGAATTGTTCAAATCCAAGGTCCGAGAAGCGACCGGAAGACCAGACGCCCCTTCCTCATCTACAACATACTCCGCTGGCATATGCGATTTGAACTCATGACCTAAACTCGCAATCAAAAACTCCGGCCCGGTGACGTAGGCGAGAAAATGTTGGAAATCAAAATGCTTCCGGAAATGCAGGAGTTCTAGTTTCGATCTCCGCTCAATGTCCGCATGTTTCGGCTCAACGAATTTCTGGATTTCGGTCACGATGAAGTTCGTCACTTTGGAGAAATGGAGCTCGTGGGGGGGAACAAGATTATTTGTGCTCAAGTTGATGTTACTATCGCTTGTAGTTCCTGGGGGCTTGTTTGAAGATGTTCCTTTCGTCTTCCCTTCCAACATCGACACCGCCGTGGCCGCGCTGCTTTTGGTGCTGCCGATTTTCGAAATCCCATTCATCAATGCGGTTGTCATCGCACGGGAGCCGCAAGTGGTCGCTGATGCAATGGACGTCGCTGATATTACGGAAGATCCTGATCCTCCGCCGCCTGCAATTTTTACCGTTTTTTTCCCGCAAATGCCTCTCGCCGTTTCTTCCGGGAGCATGAAACGCCTCCTCCACCCCTCAGAAATCCCTTGATAAAACAGATGGAAAACGGTAAAATCCTTCGTTGCTGACGATTGAGAGTGCAGATTTGGGTCCGCTAGTACAACTTTCTGCTGTTGATGCTGCGCCGCCATCCACTCGACGAACCCACCGTAGATCTTCTCCATCGTGCCAAAGCTCGACCAAGATTTGTGCGTGATTTTCAACTGTTTGTTCCCTAGTGTCGCGCTGTGGTCTTTTGTGAGTAAATGGAACATGGAGTGAACCTCGCCAACAGAAGTGATCGCTGTTGATGTTGAAGAAGCTTCTCTATTATCATGGGGTTCCTCCTGCTCCTGCTGGTGCATCATGTGTTCCCCCCGCATAGAACTCCCTTTATCTGCCCCCATCATGAACTGAAAAATCTCCAAAGCGAGCAAGTGGTTCTCGTTGTGCGCCATAACTTCCGACTTGGGGATCCGGTTTGCTAGTAGGCTATCGCTCCCCTCTATGCAATACAAATTTCCCGGGCACGACGTACAAAAGGCATCACAAATTTTGCCAACTTGCAGTGTAAGAACACTTGCAATGCTCTAACTAGGATCGGAGGCAAGTTTTGTCATGCTGAAGCCGCATTTTTTAGTCGGGTACGGGAAATTCACTGAGGATACCTTCGAAGAAAAGTTCCGACGTTTTCTGCACGGATTGGTAGAGTTCCAGTTGGTCTAGAACGATGTTGAAGTGGTTTTGGACCCAAATCGTGGGGTAGAGCCAGAAGGAATGGAGATGATTGTTCTGCCGGATTCCCTCCAATTCGTTGTAATTCACGAGATACGAAACTTCAATCAATTTTCGCTCCAGCAATTCCACATGGAGCAAGTGCATGGTCGCTTGGTCGAGTAATCGGGCGAGCGTGATGAACTCCCGTTCCAGGTTGGAAAGTTCGTCGGCGGGTTCTGCAACGAGAGAAGGTCCGTTTTTGCGTTTGTTACTCTCCGCAGTTCCTGCTTCCTCGACATTGTAGTTTCGTAAACAGCTATGCTGCGGTGATTGCGGCTTGCTGTTCGCCACAGAAGAGCCCGCTGCGCTACTACTCAAGTGTTTCGGTGAAGACACCGCGGAGTCAGAAACCACAGATTGCATCTCAGCGTTCATGCCTTGATCCATCCCCTTGATGAAGGCCATCGTCGTGGAAGAGACGCTACTCGCAACGCCGACGGTTTCTTTCGAGTGGGCTCTTCTTTCTAATTGTGCTACTTCCTCATCTACTTCAACCTGCATTTTGTCCCAATCTGGCGTGGCGGTTCTTACACGAGACCTCTCAGAACCGTTGTCCAACTCGGTCGGAGAGGGAACAGCTGGCATAATTTCTGTCGCAACATCCACATCCATAGCGGCTTCCGGCAAGGAAAAACCGGCGCCCACATGATCGCTCGCAATATCATCTTCTGTTTTATTCCTCCTTGACTGAATCTCGTGCAGCTGCTCTAACTGGTTTGCCGTCAAGTGCGTCGCGCGATAATGACGTTCGTCAGAAGCGGCAAAGGAAGATGCAATGCTGAAAGAAGACGGCTTCGAGCTGTTTGGCGTTGGGTAGACCTTTTCTGCATGATCATTATTGTCCACCTGCGAGGAAGTGGGGGAGTCGGAAGATGTTGCATCTTCATCCTGCATCAAAGATTTACTTTGACTTTTCTTCCAACTATGATCCACTTCATCCAGTTTCCAAGCCTGCCAGGTGAAGCACTCTACTTTATTTTCTGCTGGTGCAGCGGATGAAAGTTCGAAAACGCGCATCAGGTGGTACTTCGAAGCTAACAGCTCTAGCTTCTTCATCTTGCGCCGGCTGCCGGGTTTGGCCTCCTCCTGGTCTGAAGAACCTGCTGGTGCAGCGTCGCCTGATTCCTCAGCTGTGACGGTGGGCCGCCCATAATCTCCGCCACCGTAAATCTCCGCCTGCTGTTCGTACTGCAGTCTGTATTTATCCGCAAACACTTGTAACTCTCTCACGTCATCTGGATCCGGGTCGTAGGCAAGTACAACTTTTCTCGGGTAAGCCCTTGTTGGCTCGTGGGACAAGGTTTTCGGCTTCCCAACCTCTTGGTCGGTGAAGGGATTGAAATAGCGTTGTCGGCTCGGTGCTGCAGAAGCTCGTCCTGGCGATGCTACTGTACCTGTATCTGCTGCAACAGAAAGCGCACCGGCTTGTTCCTCAGCTTGTTCCTCTTCTGGCAACACGATCGTGGGCGCATTTTTCGGCCCGAGCGCAGGGCTGCCCGCTCCTGTGAAGCTACTTTGCACGCTGGTTTGCCGCGAACAAGATTTGAAATCTGAGGAGCATGGGGTGTCTTTATCGCTGCTGCAAAGTTGTGGACTAGAACTGCCGCCAGCGCAAGATGATCCGGTTCTGGAGGAAGAACTAGTACCGCCAGGGGAGGCATCTTCACTGCCCGAAAATATTGAACCCTGCTGTCGCGACGAAGTGGCTGCACCACCACGCCGAGAGACTGTAGGAGATTTTGCAGTTATGTCTGCTCCAGTTTGACGTTCCTCTCCTTCCTGTACCCGCATTTCAAATTCCATCTTCTGTTTCACCCTCTGCCGACTCCGGTGCCTCCGCATGCTGTACAGTTTCACCACTTCCGAATACTGCTGACGGATGTGCTGTTCCAAAATCGAGGTTTCGCTAACCGCCTGCTCGGTCGCTGGTGGCCGTGGCTGCGTTTGGCCCGGTTGGGATACTAAGTCCTCCGCGAAGAACAAGCGATGCACCAAATCTCTCACATGGGCTTCCAACTGGTCTTTTTGACTTTGCGTGGACAGAAGGGACTCGGAGGAATCGATCGGAGAAGCTGTTGAAGCCTGGACTTGTTTTGTGCCTGCGCTTATCGCGAGAACTTTCCTGGCCAACTGTTGCATTACAGCATGAAGGTTCCGTCCTTCTTCATCCAACAACGACATCAAACTGGCTTTTAACAAAACCGCCCGGTCTAAATCCCCGCGGAACCGGAAAAGATCGACGACGTACGAAGCTGCTTGCTCGCGGATGTTCAGAGGATTAACGGAAACATTCGGAACCAACGTGACCGCGTTCTTCACTAGATTCAATAACTGTTCCCGCTTTTTCTCAATCGTCCGCGTGAGAAATCTCCTGACGCCCGCAACGGGGAACGCTTGGCTGTTTGTCGTGCCATCGGGTGCGGGGAAGGGCTGCGGTGGCACGACGATGAGGGGATCTTGCTGCGTGGCTACTTCTGCGCCGTGGAGATTTTTCGCATATCTGTGTCGTGGAAGAGGACGTAGAGGTTGTTCGAGGTCATGGCGCTGTTCTTGGGCCTCTCCTGCTGCTGCAACGTAGTGTCCGCGGAGGGTAGGCCGAAGATCTTCCTCTTGCTCTTGCATGTCCTCATCTTCCGTCAGTGCCTCTCCTACCGCCATGTCGCCTTCTCCATCTTGTTCTGCCATACTCGCACCTTCCGGGAGCGCATCCGCATCTACCTCCCACGGGCCGGCGTCTTCAGCATCAACATGCGGATGCGCATGCCTGCTATACGAAAGTCTTTCATATCTCGGAATCCTTTTTTGCCGAATTTCCACTATCGGAGAGAAGGGCAAGTGCGACGGCTTGATGGTTCCTTGGTTCCCCAAATCGAACATCGCATCGTAAAACACCATCCTGGCATCGTTGAACTCTTCTTCCTGCTTCGCCCTGACCCCAAACGCACCGTCGATGCCGTAGGTCAACCTCGGCAGAATCTCGATTGTCCGTTCAAAGCTGCCGCCGCGGGGCGGTGCTGGCCTGGGAGGAGGGAATGATGCTTCTGCGGCGGCGGCCATGGCCGCGGGATTTTTGGGGAATGGTGAAGAAGGGAATTTTGGTGCAGTGGCAGTGGTTGGCTTTGCTGCGTTGTTCTGTGTTGCAGGTAGAGGCACTACAGAAGACGGAGTTGTGCAAGTGTTCTGTCCTTCCGCTGCAGCTGCTCGTTGCTCCTCCATCTTCGCAACTGCTAGGTCTTTCACAGTAACACTTCCAGAAGACGACGACGCTGATCCTCCGACCCTCTTCAATAACGTCAACGGCGCAGCAACCGCAGTGTATGGATTGCAAATCTGTCTGGGTCTGGGAAATTGTGATGCAAGGAAGGGAATACGGAGAGAACTCTAATGCGCTGCCAAGCATGACAAGTTTTTCGATGGTTCTGAGTTGCGTACCCCACATGAGAAACTGCGTTTTTGCATGACAGGCAAGAGGAAGTCTTTGCGGCCACGCAATACAGAATTCAGAGTCATGCCAGCCTAGCATGACAAGTCTCGCAATCTTCCAGACCCAGACATATTTGCATTTGATACAGTAGAATCAGAATCAGAAACGATATCTCCCGCTAAATCACAGGTGCTGTCCTTGCTGCTCGAGCGAACTATGCATTGCAAATATGTCTGGGTCTGGAAGAGTGGAGCTTTGTCATGCACGTTTTGCATGAGCCATGACATCTGTGATGTATTTTTAGCATCACAGATTTTCTGAAGGCATCACGATGCCCATTCCGCATAACAAATGCCGTGTCCGCGTAGCAAAAAATGGACTCCTTTTGCTGCTCATGCAACACAGATTTGTCTAGAATCCAAATGCGGCATGACAAGTTGCACTCTTCCAGGAGACCCAGATATATTTGCAGTGCATACGGGTCTGGCTCTGCTGATACTGCGCGATGATATCCAGCAGTTCTATATCTGTTCTCGCAACCAGCGTCTGTTGCTCCGGCGAAGAAGTGGCCCCAGCAAGTATCAAAAGTAAAAATCCCCCCTCCCCATATTGACAAGGTACGTTTTCGAAAATTTGCGTTGCTGATTTGTGACCACAAATCGTCTCTGTGTTGCATGAAAGCAACTCCACATGCTCCGCCGCATTCTACAGGCGGTTTGTCATGCTCATGCTCCTACAGCATAGACGTCTGTCATGCTGAGCGCCTAGGCCAAAACCTGTCTTCTCAGGCTTGATATGGGCCTGCAGTCCTCGCCAGCAAGATAAATCTGACTTGTGTGCGCAAATCCAGCATCAGAAACTTCGTTTTGATATGGGGAGGGGGGATTTTTCATTCTGATAGCAAGGTTGGAGTCCTTACTCCCCCTCCGGCTTTCTGAAGCGACGACGAATTTCGGCGCGTGGTGGCGAGAGGATAAAGTAGAGCTACCTAGTGCAGAAGCTCCTCCGCCGCGAGAGTTGTATTTCTGCGCCTCCACAGGGTTCACACTTTCCACCGCTCTGGCGATAAGCTCTGCCTCTTTCACGGAAATAATCTCTTCCGGCACCTCCAGCTGCCCTGGTCTCTTCGGTGAGGGTGCGTGGAGGGGAAGTACGGAAGGGAAAAAGAGATCTGTTTCTTGCTTTTTATTTTGCTGTCCTTCTTGCAGTTTCAGCTTAGCCTCCGCTGCCGCTTGCACCTGAAACACCTGCTGCACTTGCTGCTTGATCTGCGCGTCTAGATCTTTCGGAATTTCCTTATTCCCGATCACTTCGACATGTTGTTCCTGATTGTTCGGAAGCTTCACGGTAAATTCGTTCCGATAAGGAGGGTTCTCGCCTCGGAGAACTTTGAAAGAAGCGGGAACTTCGTCATCGTCAACGTCCATAGCTGCAACCTGGTCTTTTGTAGCATTTTTCCATAGCAACGCTTTGGCTTTGTTCTTAGCGCTAGAAGAAGCTCCTGTAGACGTGACCTTCTTCTTGGCCGGCTCTGCTGCTCTCGGCGGCGGTTCAAACAACTTTGTGAGCTTCGGTCCTCTCATATTCGCTGGAGGAAGGCCGACACCGACAGCCACAGTAGCTGCACCTGTCGGAGCTGCTCCCACAGTTGTACTACTAGCAGCGCTTGCTGCCTTCGCCAACATCGCTTCTCTTGCCATCTGTTTTGCTCTTTGATTCTCCTTCATAAACCCTAGAACGTGCGGCATCTCTTGCAGAGGCGACGGGGACCTGGAGATCCCGGGGAACAGACCCATGGCTTGGCGTCGTTCTGATACTTCCTTTATGTATGAAATGCAAAAGCATCGTACTAGTATGAATCGCATGACAAATCTCGTCCTCAGCATGAGAAACGGAATTTGTGATGCGGATTCAAGTTGAGAAAGAAATTTGTAATGCATCCATGCGATTAATAGTACGAGTACGTTACTTTTCCACAGGGTATTATGAGCGGCTCCACGATTTCGTCCATCACGTTCAAATCTAAAGCCGCCACTCTCCCGTTCCTGATCTTCTGCTTCTCGTCGAGAACGTATCATTTGTAAAAACGTCCCCACACCAGAGTGAACAAGATGGGAAATCTGCTAGACAAATCAGCCAGCTTTTGTCGTCTGGCATGACAAATTTGTCCTCCAAGTGTAATCCTGTTTAGGTGGTAGTTCAGCAGCATCACAGATCTAGCATATGATGCAATTTCTAGCATCACAATAAATCCCAAAACACGAATAGAAAAAGCTTCTCATGGGGCTTCGCATGAGAACCTTTTTTGGCATGCAAATTTGCAAGACAACTCTGGGGTGGGGATGTTTTTACTTGGAATAGAACTTCGTTGATCTTCAGCTCCTTTGTCATAATCGCAAACTGCTTTGTCAATTTCTCATTGACGAAAGGGTTGGAGAGCTGGGTCATCCCGCTAGAAGAATGAGAAGCTGGCAGTGGTCCTTTGATGTTATCCGGACCCGTATTCACAGTAAATTTCCCGGACACGCACAAATGCGGTCTCTGCAATACAAAACTTGGCTTCGATCCTAGTTTAGCATGACAAGTTTTACGCTCCAAATTGGTGAGCTTTGTCATGCATCTTGTACATGTACGGGAAATTTGTATTGCATAACCCGCAGTCCCGTTCACCATTCGCTGCGCCGACCGGATCATTTCGGACAGACCCGCGTCTGGGCTATAAAACCTTCTCGGGTGTTACAATCTCAAGCGATACAATACAATCTGGAAATCTGTGATGCAAGAAGTGCATGACCTAGCCAACTCTCATAGGATTGCGCATGACAAGTTCCGGAGTCCCAAACCGCACTAAAATCTGGCGAAATTTGTATTGCAGAAAGTGGAACGCTGTGCGGGTCTGTCATGATTATCATGCAATACACAATCCAGATTCTATTGTAACGTTTGAGATTGTACCATTTTAGCGGGTCATATGGGCCGATCAATTTCTCCAGTTGCGTTGAAGCTGACAGGGATTTCCGGAAGTATCCGAAGGGGGAAGGAGCGAAAGTTTCTGTGGTCGAAGATTTCTGATAAAGCGGGGCGGTTGATGGGGGTTTCGTCGACGTACTATCGGTCGCTGATGTCCTTGGTACCAGCCCGCCCATGTACAGGGTCATAACTCTCGCCACGGTTGCGAACAGCAAAATACCCCCACGGGATGGCGGCCGCGAGGAAAAATTTCCAGCAGACCCACACGACCCGCGGTTCGCAGGGGAGCTATTCTTGGTCGTGCGCTCGGAAGTGATGGAACTTTTCGCAATTTTTACCGTACTAGCCGCACCGTAGAACAGGAGAGGGCAGGAACGGAGGAACACGTTGACATCGAAATCTAGTTCCTTTTCGTAGTGCGACTCTGTATTCGTCTTGCCAGCTGTTTCATCTGTCTGGAACATCCTGCCCCGCAACGCTTCCAACAATTCGTCATTTGCTTCAATCGTCTCAGAATTCTGACTTCTCCCATGATCTCCATCCTCCTGGAAGAAGAACTTCCATAAAGTTTCCATCTGAATCTTGCTCGCCATTGCCCCCGTCGTCGGCTTTGACCTCGCCGTGATCCAGGCCGCCTGCGCTTGCGTTTCGACAGACGTCCGTCGAACTAGTTCCATTTCCAACTGCTGTTGCAAAGACGGGGATTGCCTTTGCAGGGGTGGTTTCTGCGATTCACTCGTTTTAGCCTGCTTCAGTGGTGCACCTGCACCACCTCCGTTGGTCGCAGCGCTGGGTTTGGAATTCGCTTGCTTGGCTCCGACAATCCCTGCGAGTAACAGTTCCGTGAGGAGGAAGGAACCGAATTCCCTCTTTCTGGATTGCAACCTCCCGTGGACATTGACTTGTTTTTCTACTGGTCTCGCTTTGTCAGGGTTTTTCGCGAAATTGTCCGCCAGTTCGAAAATGTTCGGGCCCTCGGTTTTCGACATGGCTTTTAGAAGTAACGCTTTGTCAATCTCCAGCGTGTTTTCCCGCGCGAACTCACTGGCTATTCTTAGTTTTTCCTGTAATTCGCTGTCGCTAAAGTCGGTATCTCTATCCGGTTCCAGGAACGCGCGGGGTTTGGGTTCCAGGTTCTTTTCAGAGTTGTAATGAAGATCTGTAGTGGGTCTATTTCCAGTGTCGTCCTGAGAAGAAGAAGCTCCTGCAACAGCTGCTGTGCCTGATGAACTTCCAGATTGTTTCTTCCACCGAAGCTTACCATCGCTTCTTTTGTTCTTCTCAAAACCACAAACCTGTTCCGTGCAATCCCACAGATCGATGAAGTCCTCCATTGCCGCCTGCGTATCCTATGCAAAAGCATCGCAAGTGTAGGAATTGCATAGCCAACATGCATGACAGATCACATCCAGAAGCTAAAACAGCATGAGAAATTCTCTTTTTTAATAATCTGAAGAAATTTGCAAATGCAATGCAACTCAAACAAGCCCCCGGGCCCGGCGGAGATGCTTCTGCAATGCGTAGTGCGCAACTGACTTCAGCTCCTTCGGCTTCGTCTTCCCATTCTTTTCGAAAACCTGCTCGCAGAGTTTTTCGCCTTCCTTTTTCCACTATCCACAGAAGAAAACCCACCCACATCCATTTTTTGCATGACAAACACAGTACTTCTTAATACGTGTTTTGCATGACAAATTGGATGTGCGACATGGGTTTTTTTCTGTGGATATCCACAATTCTTTCATGACTTTCCCGAATGATTTCCCCTTGTTCGCGTCTTCGACGTCTTTTCTGATGTTAGACAGGACCTTTTCCTTCTCTTCACCAGCAGGGGCAGTAACAGCAACTTCACTTGTCCTTGTGTGGCAGAAGTCACTGGCTGTCGTCTCCAGTGTCATCACATCATCATCCTCCTCGTCACCAACGTCGACCAGCATTTTGTTCTTCAAAAATTTCTTCCGCAAATCCGACGGCCAGTGCTCGAATTCCGGTAAAAGAGTTTCTAATCTCCGCATTTTGTTCAACTCATGCGTCACCATGGCGACATCCGCATTCGTCTTCCCCTCTTCGTACTCAAGCGCGTCATCCGGGTGGACATCAGAGAGGAAGAGCGCGAATATCGTGGTCCAATCTGAGGCGAAAAATATGTCGTTTGGAATGATCTCCGTCAGTCCCTGCCACAGCGCGACGTCTTCGGCGGTTGCTTGTAAATGGTTCTGTCGGACGTACTCCGGGCGTTCTTTATCCAAGAAAAAAACTGTGTTAGTGTAACTACCTTTGGCTGACAGCATCACAAATTTGCTCTACATGACAGAGAAAACCTGTCATGCGTGGTTTGTAAGAAAAACACACACATGAAAAGAGGACTGCACGGCTGTCTGGCATGACAGGTGTAACTCTGTTGCGTGTTCTGCATCACAGATTTACAGTTACACAGTTTTTTTCTTGCATACTCCTGCTCGAAAAACCAGTATTTGGTGTCGACGTCACGGTTTTCGTCGTTGACGGATTTGCGAGACGGGGCCTGTTGAAATTGTTTCTCATGCGGTTCTTCGATGAAGGTCTGATCTGTATGTTCTTGTTGCGCATCTTGCATGACAGCATCCGTCTCTGATTCTTGTGGCGCATGCAGGTCCGCGGCAGGCGCGTTGGCGTAGAAAGCCTTGTCAGAAACACCTTCCTCCGCTCCTGCATCGTCCGGTATGGCACGAAACTCCCCGAGAATCGGAGAAACATACCCATCTGGCACATGCTGTGCCTGCGGAAGATGCGCAGCAGAAACTGGTCCTGCTTTGTTTTGGTTATTTTGAGATGAAGAAAACCGCCCAGCAGAAACTTGCATGGTTCCAGCACCAGTGGCATAATTCGCCAGTCCTTGTATCTCCTGCTCATTTCTAATCGCTTGTTCCGTGAAGGAATTGTTCCCGTAGAACCGTGGCGCTAAACTAGTTCTGTACGCGTGCGGCTTCACCTGTTTGAAGGTCTGCTGCCTCACCTGCATGGCTTGGTACTGCCAATTCTGCTTCCCACCCCACTTGGTAGACACTGTCGGCTTCTGACTGCCGCTGCCGAGTGCTTTACGGAGGAACGAGGTTGGGCGAGATGTGGGGGGAGGGGCGGAGGCGGACAGAGAACCTGCGCCGCCGGCTTTGTGTTCTTGCTGGTGACCACTCATTTCGAAAGCCGGCGGGGGACTACTTTCAACCTCAGTAGCTGTAGAGGAGGAAAACTGAAACGCTGCGATTTCGTCCGACACTCCTCCTGTGGTGGTTCCTGGGGGATGGACTGCATTTCTTTGATGTCTTTCTTCTTCAGCGAAAGCTGCATTTTCCGCAAACACACCGCGGCGGCCCTTTGTACTTGTTGTGCTCGTCCCTGCTTTTATGTTCCCACTCAACCAGTCCAGATTCCGCATCCGGGAGTAATACGCCGAATCTTCTTCCTGTTTCCGAAAGTGGAAACCGATCGAGGTTTGCGGAATCCGGTCCCAATTCAACCGCATCTCGTACAGATCCGACATGATGTGGTAGTTCAACTGGTTTCTCAACTCGAACAGCTCGAGATCATTCTGGACATAGCGGAGCAGAAATTCAGTTCGCCATTTCAGCTCCTCGATGAAGTTACTGGTCTCCGCGATCAGAATCGACATCGAGCGGAAATTCGCCGAATCAGCTTCCTTCTGTTTCATCATCTCCTGCTCTTTTTCTGAGCAACCAGATTCCAGCCACTCGGTGGCATTTTTCGTATGATGTAGTTCTTGCGGAGGTTGATTTGTTCGTCCTTGTCCTGCTTGAGGACGATCATCACCACCACAATCTCCCAGCTCCTGCTGTACTTCCTCGCAAGCTTTCTCCGCAACTTGTTCCGGCGATTCCTTGATCTGCTGTTCTAACTCATCGTACTCCGCGAGCGCTTCCTGTAGACTTTGTTTCCTACTCGACCCAGCGACGCTGCCAGTTCCACGTGCGCAGTGACTGCTTCCAGCGACCGAAGAGGAATTGCTACTTCCACCAGCACCGCTGCAAGAGCCCACGACTGACGGGCTGTTATTGCTCATCTGGTCCAAACAAAACGCCTTCTTGATCACCCGGTCCTGCAGGTCGTTGACGTCGATCACGTCCACCTGTCTCTCTTCCACAGAAGAATCCAACACCGTCTTGCAAAACTCGTTCGCCCCCTCGGGGGTAAGGAGATCAGGCGGTTTGGAGGAAGATGGACTGGCGGGTACTGCTGACAATTCCGGAGGGGGCTTTTGTGATTGTTCTGTGTCAACCTGCATCTTCGTCTCCCCCGTGGCTTCGCTATCACGGCCAAAGTTCGGATCGTAGTCTCGAACCGCGTCCAAAATCCACGGGTGTTCTTTTGCTATCAGCTCCGTCGAAGGAGGGGCTTTACTAGATGTTGTACTGTGTTGCTCTCGTGGTTCTGGTGCTGGAGGTGAAAATGCGGCGGCACGAACACCGTCTTGAGGCCCCTTTTCGTCCTGGTTCTCTTTCTCATCCTCTACTAAATGCACATCCATTTCAATATCCACTAACCCGTCTAGGTCGGCTTGTTTCTGATCCGCCGACTCTTTGACCGTCACCCTGTCCGCCACGATTTTGCAATTCTGTACGCGAATCATCCCGAGCGTGACTTTGGTCAGCAAGTCCACCCGCTGCTGCTTCAACCGATTCAATTTTTCCACTTCCGTAATCCTTCTATCAATCAAAACCTTCCGCACGTACTGCAAGTGTTCGGTGGAGGGTTTAGGTGCGGAGGTGGGGGAAGTTGTAGACGCTGAAGTTGTTTTTTTACCTATCGCGGCCTCAGCAGCAGCAGCAGGTTTGGCTTTAGGAGCTGTTGCTGCCGCCTGTTGCTGCGAGGACAACTTTTGCGCGCCGTCTTTAGCCACCGGCTTCGGACCTAGAGTGATTGGCTGCCCAGGTGTTGGCGCGTAAGGGTTCTGGGAAAGATCACTTGTTTCAATCGCCTCTTTTTTCAGTTCTTTCTGCAACCGGTTCGCCGGGGGCTTCGCCGGCGGGGGCATGTCCTTGGACGATTGACGCTGCTGCAGCTGCTCCGACGAGGAGGGCACAAGTGATTCTTCTTCAGGTTGCTGTAAATTAAATCCTTTCGGCGGAATCATTTGCGTGTTGGATTCAATGTACCCCGTCATCGCGTCTATCAAAGCCGACTCCGCCACATGATTCGCCTGCTCCTCGCGATTTTTCTTCTTCTTCTTCCCCCGACGGGTGGGCTTGGCGCTCGGAGTTGTAGGACCTGTCGGTGATGCGGGTGTGGATCCTTTATGACCTTCTGTGACTCCTGCTGTGGGCGTTGCAACTACGTTTACACTCGGATCTTTATTCGTCATCGCAGTTGCGCCAGCGGTTGGAGTAGTTCCGGAAGTAGTTGCCGTTCCTGCACCATCCAGTTTCAGAGTCGGAGACGTCAGGCTCCCCGGCCACGATTCCGTCTCCAGCCGTTCTTTCATCTGCTCTAACTCGATCCGCGTCTTCAGCTGCTCGAGGCGCTCTCTCGACAGTCCGTGGATCAAGTCGACGTCTTTATGCATTGCAAAAATTTCCTCGTACTACGTACAAGTTGCAATACAGATTTTTCCAGAAAGAAGGGTGGAATTCGAATCTGCTATGCTAGCCCACGTACAAAGCGAGATCTGTCATGCATAATGGAAATTGCATTTGCAGTGAATAGGATAGTACTACGAGTACGAGTGCGGTCCTTTTGCCGTGCATAATCTTCCTGACTCAGCAGTTCCTTCTCAAACATGGCCGCAATGTCCGTATCAAATGCAAAAGTGTCTGGGTCTGGAACAAAGCAACTTGTCATGCAGAATCTGAATCCTGTAAAAATCTGTGCTGCATGATTACCAAGAGCTGTCCTCTTTTGACCTAATCGTGAGGCAGTTTCTCGTCATGCAGGATAGGCATGATAGAACTAAAACAGATACAGAATCTGTCATGCTATGTCTTACATACCAGACCTTATGGGTCATGGAAAACCTGCATGACAAGTCTGCCACTCTTCCAGACCCAGACACGACATTTGCAGTTGATAATCCGCTCCCGGCAGCAATTCGTCCACTTTCAACGCCCGGGCGAATTCTTTGTCAATTTTCGCCTTCACCGCTTCCCCCCCGAATTTCTCCATCTCGGACAACAATGCCACGGACTCACGGGTGTTATCCGCGGCTTTTTCCAATTTCTCGTGGTGCGCATCATCCAAAGACAACAATGCGTCTTTCAATTGCTTCGCGGCCACCGTTTGTGTGCCAGCTTCCCCGAACAGCTTTTTGGCTATGGCATTCTCAAACGTTACATTCTCAACCGTTACATGAATTTATCATGTAAGACTACCTTAAGCCGCCTGGCGATCAACCTGGTTCGCATGACAAATCTCCCTCTCCGAGAGGCTGAGCAGCATCTAAATCTGTGCCACATCTGTGATGCGAAAGCAGCAAGCTTGCCTCTTTGACTGTCGCCACTCTTGCATCACAAATTCATGTAACGGTTGGGAATGTAAAAGCTGAGAACGCCATATTCGCTTCCAGGTCCATGTGCGTCTCGTGCTCTTTCCGTGACTGTTTGAAGTACTCGGTGGTTAAAGCGGTTACTTCCTCCTATGCACTGCAAACGTGTCTGGGTCTGGAAATCTCGAACTTGTAATGCAGGTCTCGCATTCCTGTAAAATTTGTATTGCATGACCACCAAAATACGCAGCCTCTTTTGTCTATACGAACGCGCAGTCTCTCATGCGAGCTGCGCATCAGAAAGCGTTCTGGAAAGTTGTCATGCTTGGCTGCGTTCGGAATTGCTTCCATCATTCACACTTTAGCATCACAAGTTTCCAGACCCAGACATATTTGCATTTGATACCTCCACTGCCTTGGTTAAATCGTTCGCGGAGGTTCGAATGCTCTCCTTGAATTCCCCAGGCGATTTCACCAGATTCATTTTCGCGAGTTGCTGGGTTAAATGGTCTATGCATTGCAAAAGTATCGTACTCGTATAAAAAACGCATTCTCAGCATGAGAAACAAAATTTGTACTTAATTCTGATTTACCCTAAGAGAAAGATTTGTGAATGTGACGCATGATTGCAATACAAGTAAGCGATACTTTTGCACAGGATATGGTCGATCGCTTTCTTTGACGCTTGTTCCGCCACTTCCCGGGAGCTCGTCGTGGTTTTCTGCGCTTCGCGCCAAACGTCATCTGCGATCCCGGAAATGGCTTGGTCGGTAAATTTGTTCATGAAAGAAGGGTCTTTTTGGAACTCCTCTTTCTGCTTCGCGCGCTCCAGCATGGCGAAAAGCTCGTTTTTTTGGTCGATCTGGGGAGTGGATTCCGATTTTTCGCCGCCTGGTGGTGGTGATATATGACCACCTTGTGGAGGAGGTGTGGGGCAATCGACAAGACCAGAAGTGGAAGATGTGGCGGAGGAAGAATGCATCCTGGAACGCCTCCCGGTCGGTAGACATGAACTTGATGCTACCCCGTCGACGCTAGACAAATCCGATTCTCTGGTGTTTACGGTAGACGCTCCTGTAGCGCCGCAAGAATTTGTTGTCGGGTCTTCTTGCGGTTGTGAAGTAGTAGACCCAGCACTGCAAAAATCGCGGCTGAAGTCAAGCACTGGCGCGATGCCGTCAACAGTAGTACTTCTTTCACCAGAAGTACTAGTTCCGATTCCTGTCCCGCCCCCAATGTTAATTCCCAAAGTTGTGCCCAGCTCAACTACACCGGAAACCGTCGTGGAAGTAGAAGCGGAACGAGAGTGGTTTGTTGACGTGGAAGATGCGAATGCGGGAACAAGAACCTGTTCTTTCGGAGAACTCGCTGTCCCGAACTGCTGCTCTTGGTTTGCACCGCTGGCTGCACTACTGGAAGCCATGTCAACATCGTGCACAAACTCCGCTTCTTGAATCCCGTCTTCTAGCTTCGCAAATTGATTTGTGGCTTCGTCACTAACGGCCCGCACGAAGGCAGCCGCGTCCGCAAAAGAACTTTCATCGTTTTCGTCAACTTCTTGCTCTTCCTCAA